ACATGTAAAATGTTTGGTAGATGATTATAGCAGTGAGTGAACTAGTAATGTTTGCACATTAAATAAAAGCTGTTAAACAAATGTTAAATGTTTCTACTTCCTTTTTTTTTTTTTACAGTTCTAGCCACCACCACCACGACCACTACTACTACTACTACTACTACTACTACTACTACTACTACTACTACTACTACTACTACTACTAATACTACTACTACTACTACTACTACTACTACTACTACTACTACTACTACTACTACTACTACAACTACTACTACTACTACTACTACTACTACTACTACTACTACTACTACTACTACTACTACTACTACTACTACTACTACTACTACTACTACTACTACTACTACTACTACTACTACTACTACTACTACTACTACTACTACTACTACTACTACTTCTACTTCTACAACTACTAACAATAATAATAATTCCACGGTGGCCACCATTACTGCCTCTACTACTATTTCCTCCTCTGTTTAATCCTGAGTTTATATACTTATATAGCTGTATCTGTGTTTTATTGCCTTTCTTATCCATCCTTGTCTTCCCGTTCTATGTCGCTATCTATACTTCATATTACTATCCCTCTTAGCCTTATTTCTCTTCTCCGATTACTAACGCTCATGTAAGTGTTTGTCTGCTGTATGCACGTGGCACTGTCTTTAGCCACAATACAGGTTGAGTTAATGGGTTGGATAAAGTCCTATTGTCATTCTCCCTCTCATGTAGGAGTTGCAGTAAAATTCAAACATCTATCTATCTATTCTTCCCTTATGTTATGTTTGGCGAAAATATGTTTAGAATGGATGCACGAGAGCAGTCAGAACTACCACAGTCTACTGTTGACTATCGAAGTCGGCTAGATTGTGTCAATTATGTAATCATTAAAACATCCAACAAACGCTTCAGTGGTGTATTTCGGTGTCACTTAAAAATGTATACTAAAAACTATGTGTTAATAGACGTGTGTCAAAATATCTCTCCGTAACTTTGTTTGTGGGTGCTGTTTCTTTGTATTTCACTGTTTTTTGGACAAGCAATTCTTGCACCATCGTTTTGAGGCAAGGGTTATAAAACATAAACAGTGAGAACTGGCCTTAATTTGTCGTCTTTGTTGAAATCTGTATTCTGCAGTGCTCATATATTTACAAAACAAATGAAAGCGACAAAGAGTATGCCTGAAAAAAAAATAACTTTCCAAAAATTAACAGATTAAAGAACACTAATGTGTTTACTAAAATACAAAAGGGCAGACATAACTATAACCATATTTCATGGAGAGTCGTGGGTAAATGCTTATGTACACAACAACAAAGTGCAAACTACTGGTTCACTCACGGGACGGTTGTGTACGTAGATCAGTTGTGCTGACTTCGACATGCAACAGTCAGTTCTACAAGTTGAAACCATCTAGTATTGTGAAGGTGTTAAATTAGTTGGACTTTGTATGACAGTAACAAACGCCAACATTACAAACAACAGACATTTTATATCGTTGGTTTTAATTATTAACCGGACAAAAAGAGTATTTCTAAAGCTGAGTAAACATAAATTGATGGTAACCGTTGCTTGTTTTGATAAACACTTGTCTCTAGTATGACAAAAAAACCATGCAGGATTGTGTCTGTTTCTGTCTTGTTTTATTTATGTGTGTTCTGTTTTCGTTTGCTGGTCTTTCAACTATTGCCTTACGTACTAAACCTCGAAGATGTCTATGCGTACTCCGTCTTGCTTACAAGAAGAATAGTGCAAATACGTACTTTCCTGGCGGTTAATATAAGTGTCACTTGCAAGTCCAAATTTCCCGTAATGAAACATTATTGATTAATGTCATACAACAAATATACCAGCCATTCATTGTCTTTTCTAGAAGTGAAACACCTCCATTAAGAGTAAATCGGAAAGAGACTGGAAAACAAACACGGGATATTTTTTTTTTTTTTTTTAAATCCTTCAACATCTAAACAGAACTGACCAAGTTACCATCTTTCTCTTACGTACAGGATATGCCAGACATGTGTCTTCGTGTTGAACAGACACCAGCACATGTCTTGATAAACTATCCTCTCCTGGAGGAGCTGCGAAACAATGTGTGACCACATCCAGCAGACCTGACACCTAAACTCTCAGGAAAACTGAGATACCTCAAACAAAAATCCAGTTTAGAGCCGACAGTGGAATCAGAGCATGGCCAGAAATCGCTAAAGAAAGATTACTGTTATTATAGACACACTTTTAAACACATGAACATCTTCACTGTGAGCGTATATCCTTACGCGGGAATGGAGGTGGAGGCGGTAACTGCAGGTTTCCGGTGGCTAGAGAACAAGATGCATACACATGTCGTAATTGTAATAGACTGAAAACATGCTGAAAAAGTTGAAGACAGGGATGCTTCGAGCAGAGTGGCAAGCTTCACTTGCAAGGTCACGGGTAGTGAGCATATTTTCGATCTTTCCTCCAGGCCATGCCGGCGTGGTAAGTAATAAACAGGCAGACATATTGGCTGGATCTGCACCACTTGGTGGTGAATTGATACATGATAAGGCAGATATGGTCAAGGCCCTTTAAGAACAAGCAGCGGAATCAGTAGAGAAACAAGATTATTATGGTCTAGAGAGAATGAAGCATCAGGGTGTAACCATAGGGTCTGGCCGGCTCACAATTCTCATAGGAAAGGCAAGACGGATATACAGCCAGATTGTGACCGGTACCATCAGTATTGGAACTCTGCCAAAACTGGCCCACAGAGGCCTAGCAAGTGGCCTACGGATCATGGACAGCGGTATTGTATTAACAGGCTGTCCATGCTGGCGCTCAGGCCTCTGGTCCGTGGTCATCAATAGTTTCATATGTTCGCTCCTGGGTAAATTTTTTAATTATCCCTGGCCTGTGCTATCCCGTGTCTTTTGGTATCAATTCATTCACCTCTCAGCTGACCTTCACCAAGTGTCCTGGGGTCATCCACGACTCATTTATCCATCTGCCGTCCATCCTATTCCGATGAGATTCTATACCCCTGTTTAAGGAGGGATATAGTGTATAGAATAATGGCGGGGGGTTCACAAAACACACTAAAGGTTGCGGGTTTAACTTTCGTTAGGGTATCACCCCTTCCCCCCTTCCCACCCCCACCCCATTCTTGTGTTCTCTAAATTATCCGGACATTAGATGAAACGTTGCATAGACTGGTGTAACCAGTATAGCTAGCAGCTATATATAATTTTTTTCAAAATAAGATCTTGGTCTTTATTATCCAAGAAATGTTAGATACAAAGTTAGACTGGGTAGACCCAGGAGTCCAGATAAGCGAGAGATATTCTCGCTTCCATAAGAGATACAAACTCATGATCACAGTGATGGCAAACAATCGTGCTAGCGACTGCTCCCGTGCGGTAACTGTACTGCTCTACAAATGCAGCTCATTTTGCTGTTAATATGAGGATTTACTGTCCTTCCTGGTCAACATTACATCTGACACCCGACATGTTTCTGGGGTAGAAATGCCGACACAAAATGACCTGGGCGCTCATTTTTTTTTTTTAATATCGCACCCACGTAATGTCCCAACCAGTTACCCCCTCTACCCCTAATACATGCATTTTTTTAAAGGACTCCTGCCTTCAACGCTACTGCAGAAGACACTGTGAGTGGTAGCAGAGAAAACGGTGAATATCTACAGCAGTGCTACGAATTTATCACAGTGGCTTTATGCTTGAGGAGAAGGAAATAAAAGATGAGCGTTCAAACAAGGAGAGGGGGAATAGGAAAGGCGGCGGTGGTGGAAGAGGTGGCTGTGATGGAAGAGGCAGGGGTGGTGGATGAGTTGACTGCGACTGAAAAGGTGGTGGTGGTGGAAGAGTTGGTCGAAGAGGTGGTGGTGGCGGAAGAGTTGGTCAAAGAGGCGGTGGTGGTGGAAGAGGTGGCTGTAATGGAATAGGCAGTTGTGTTGGACGAGTTGACTGCGATGGAAGAGGTGGAGGTGGGGGAAAAGTTGGTCGAAGAGGTGGTGGAAGAGTTGGTCGAAGAGGCAGTGGTGGTGGAAGAGTTGGTCGAAGAGGCGATGGTAGTGAAAGAGTTGGTCAAAGAGGCGGTGGTGGTGGAAGAGGTGGCTTTGATGGAAGAGGCAGTGGTATGGAAGAGGTGGTGGTGGTGGAAGAAGTGGTGGTGGTTGAAGAGGTGGGGGTGGTGGAAGAGGTCGCTGTGATGAAAGAGGAGGTGGTGGTGGTTGAAGAGGTGATGGTGGTGGTGGAAGATGTAGTGGTGGTGGAAGAGGTTGCTGTGATAAAAGAGGTGGTGGTGATGGTGGTGGAAGAGGTGGCTATGATAAAAGAGGTGGTGGTGATGGTGGTGGAAGAGGTGGCTGTGATAAAAGAGGTGGTGGTGATGGTGGTGGAAGAGGGGGCTATGGTGCGCCAGCGTTGGAAGAGAACTGGTCGTTGGATATAGTTACGGAGTTTGTGCTTTGTGTGTAATGTGCTGTTAAGATGGAACGAGCCTAATAGACTGAAGCATTTTATCACGAAGTAGATAACTTGTGGTCTTCTTCCCCTGGGTGTTTAGGGGCAGGGAAACAGACCCAATATTTAGCATGAGTAAAGGGCAACAAATCAAGGGTTTGCAAAAATTGAATTATTGGACCAAAATGCACAGATATCTCAGCCTACCGGTAAACCACAGTACAATATGCCAACCACACTTTTAACGAGAACACAGAATGAGAAGTGGCCAACTTTAAAGTGTACCCGGTTGATCCCTAAGATGTGAAAAACTTTCCAAACACCGGCATCCCAAGGGACGCCACTCTCATAGCACAACAACGTGGAGATAACATTGAAGGCTTCTCTTCTGTATCGTCGGCAACATTATCGTTATGTTAGTCTGATCTCATCGATTCCAACCCCATCTTTCTCTCTGCTGACCTCACCACTGCATCATTTATTCTCAACTGTGTGACAGACAAGAACAAACCTGCCAAAATGATGCAAGTAACAGACTTTCAAAGTAAGTTCCCGTCCCATTTTCTAGCAGAAGCTGAGCAAGTGAGTGTGTAGGTAGTTTAGTCAAATTTTTAAAATGCCCTCTACACCAATAAAACCAGCACAGTTAGATAGCTGTAAACAATCTCTTTCCAATGGTACCTCATTTAGGCTTTTATGTCATTTCTGAGCTGAGATATGTAGGTTTTTGTGGAGATGATATGTAAAAAGCAGCTGCTAAAACTTGCGTCTTAGAAAGAAGATTTTCTCTGCGCAGCGAAACTGCGCACTTATTGTTTTGGCTTTGTTTACATCGGACTGTCATTGGACAAGATGGCAGACAATGAGACAACCACTGGCTGAGCCAGCGATTGCCTGAAAAATGTCACTGTACATCTACCTAGCCACGGTTCAGAAAGAAATTTTATACACAAATGTAAAATTGGACGGAGAACTCAATTATAACTAGCATTACCAGGACCAGTAACAGTTAAAGCCTAAAGCCAACCCTGAATACTTATCGCTATTTTCAATCAAACTGATGTAACAGAAAAACAGAGGACGTCCGGCTGTCATAGACATGCGCTGTTAATCGGGTTCCTTCCCGCCGTTTTCAGCTTTTTATAGTGGGTGAAAATCACACCAATCGCGAAATTTCATAAGAGATTAGGACCTATCCCGAAACCCCAGCCGACATTTGCGAAGCGTTTCAAACGGTTTCCATGGTAACGGAAATTGCCAAAAGACCACCAATTGCCGAACACCGTAGTCGCTAGTGTGAGATCTGCGCTATCACTGAGAAATCTTGGCTCTCCTTCGAACGGCATCATAGAATGGCGGCCATAATATGATGCCACATTCTGGCCATAAAATATCCAAAAATATCCGAACGGTGTTCAGGCATATCTAAAATAAGGACTTTCTGCCAAGGAACAAATCGCGGCAAAACTAGGATTACTTGACAATCACTATCAACATTGCACACTAATAGAAGACGATAAATACCGACCGTTGACAATTTCGAGCGTTTCTGCAGACGATATTAGCGACCGTTGACAATTTCGAGACCTTACAGACGATGAAAGCGATTAGCAATACTGTTCTTCCGATTGAGGATTTAGCAGCAGTAGATGTCAGACTTGTCGGCATGCGCAAAATGCAATTAAACTCATCGCCGAGCGTATCCCCCACGCCGCTACACGCGGCGCGGATGGGGGGCTAAACTAGGTGCCTGGGACTCACTAGTAAAGTAATTGGAGGAAGTTGCAGGAGATGCGGTAGCTGCTGCTCGTGAGTCCCAGCCAACTAGTTTAGTCCCCATCCGCGCGTAGCGGCGTGGGGGATACGGTCAGCGGTGAGGCACACTCACAGAAGCAGGTCCGCAAGTAACATATCGCCGAGAGCATTTGTTTCGTTATACGGAGCCGGCATATTTTATAGACCCGAGCCCCATTAGGATATTTTTGGATAATTTATGGCCAGAATGTGACCAATTTGGCTATCCTTCGAACAGCATCGTATTATGGCCGCCATTTTATGATGCCGTTCGAAGGAGATCCGAAATCTTTGTCACAGATGGGGGTATTATTCCTGTCCTGAACTGCACTTATCATATACTATAATATACTTATTTACTATAGACTGAACGGGTGGGTAGAAGACATCATCACTTAAGCAATAGTCTCATCTCGTAGGGTTATGCTATCTATAAATATTATATATACTGAACACCTTTGTTTGTTTGTTGCTCTCATTCTTCTGAGAATGATTTGATTTATCCTGCGAGTTGACAGGATTATTAATTTTTGTTTTTTGTTGGGTCCGACTAGAACCATAGAACGGCTCTGGAGTGGACCCGGCCTACAGAAAAGTTCTAACAAGCTACTGGGTTGTTGTTTTTTTTTTTTTTGTCGTGTGAATTGTCTGAGGGCTGAATTCAATAAGGAAAAGAAATAAATAGCCACCCTATCTCATGAGCTGGGGTAGGTGGGGAATACCGAGGAAAATATTGGGGCGATAATGTTTAGCTCCCATAATATGGGTTGTTGAGGCACCCGCCCCCCCCCCCCCCCAACTTTTTTCAGCATGCTCAGAATGCCCAAGTCTCTGAGTTTTGGCATCCCTGCCTCATATAATGTGGCCTCAGACCTTAAATCCTAGCAGCAATATTTGACAATCTCTGGTGCTGTCGGCAGTCAGTCTACATGAGATCAGTGTTTGGCAGGTTCCTAAACAAACCCATTGTTATAAGATTGGATCTTTCCCCAGAACTGTACTTCAGCAGGCTATCACCTTTATAAATACAATATTGATGCGGGCTGCATTCTGCAATAGAAATGCTGATCACAGATTTGTGTGCAGAGGAAATGTCTGTACATGTCCGCCACAAAGGACGCGAAGGATAGTTTTAATATTTATATAAAACCTTCTAACAGTTTCAGAGTTTTGTAAATATTTGTCATGAATAAACTTTCAGTTTTCTGAATGAACATTCCTTATACATGACATAGTTGTTTTTTTCTTGTTTCAGAAATTGGTGTTGGTTTGGCAGGATTTGGGATAGTGTTCCTCTTCCTTGGCATGGTGCTGTTGTTTGATAAAGGGCTTCTAGCAATTGGCAATGTAAGTTTGTTCTTGTCTAATAGTTGGTGGTGTCAGTTTGTGGTCTCGTAGTTAGCAGCGGCAGTTTATGATATTTGATTGGTAGTGTATGCAGGCACAAATAATGCACTAGATACTGCTTGTGCATTCTTTATTATCCGCATTATTTACATTTAAAACTAGGCGGATGTGGGGTGGGGGGGTGGGTGTAATTGTACCTTATCATCATCATGGGCCCTGCCAACTGGCATAGGCGCTCATGCGTCTCCACAGATCACGATCCCTGGTTGACAGGAACAGCTCTCTTGATGATATCCCTCCATGACATCGTTTCAGTCCATTCAGCATCATATCTCTTGGTCTGCCTCTACCCCTCCTTCCACTAATTTTTGCAGTTGTCACAATGTTTTCCAATGCCTCTCTTCTCGTTATGTGGCCAAAGGACGGTGTTTGTCTCCTTCTTATTGTTGTATATAGAGATCTACTTTCCTTAGCTTCTTTCAAACAATCGTTGTTAGTTACTCTGGCCGTCAAAGGTGTTTGTAACATTCTTCTCAGAAACCACATCTCTGTTGCTTCTTATTTTGTTCACTGACATTCCAATAGTTGCTACCATACAGCAAAATAGGTTCTATGTAACATTTTAGCAATCTTTTTCTAACATTAAGTGAGAGTGACTTATTGTATAAGATATTTTTCATGTTTGCATTTTCTGAATCTATGTTATCTGTGTAATATGCTGCATTTTTTGTTCATTTCAGATACTGTTCGTCTGTGGCCTGGCTTTTGTCATAGGCCTGGAGAGGACTTTCCGATTCTTCTTTCAGCGTCACAAGTTAAAGGCCACAGGGTTTTTCATTGGTGGGATGGTGGTTGTTCTGATTGGCTGGCCAGTTGTTGGCATGTGCGTGGAGTTGTACGGTTTCTTTCTGCTGTTTAGGTAGGTTCTAGAGAACTATATGCCATATTGCCTTGAATGTGGGTAATTGAGTTGTGTGATCTCACATTTGTCTGTTCATTTATTCATATCTCCAGGTGGGTTTCGGGGCCCCATTGTGAGGAAAACTAGAACAGACCCACTGTCTCCCCAGCAAACATGTTGTAAGAATCGAATAAATGGGGCTTCCTTCTAAGTCGGAGTGCATCTGCCTGAAAGGCAAGGAAGCCAAAATCTTCATACAGATAAGTCAGATCTGTAAAACTGATGTGCACACAACACTCGTATTCTGGAACAAGACTAAAGTCCAAAGGTGAATGATCAACCACACCTTTCCGCCAGAGTTTACAGCCGGTGAACATGAAGATTTATTCACGTTTCTTGTTTTCTTGAAGAACGTTCTAGGTATTTTCCCTGTCAAATTATAATTGTTTAATAATGATTGTCTTGTACCTCGGTGAAGTTAAGTTGAGTTCTCCTGTGGGTTTCCAGGAAACACATTTTTGTTTGGTGGGGGGGGGGGGTCTAACTAAGCGTACTGTACGTGGGTGGTGGTGAAGTGGTCATAATCCATGCTTTGCCTCACGCTCGTACATTTCATGGCTGAGTCGTTAGATTCGTGAGGGCAATTTTTACGGAGACCCCTGGGGATGGTCACCAGAACTGAAGTATTTGTACTTTGTGGTTTCCAGTCTGCAGAAAGAGACCAAGCCATATGGGATAAAACACGTTGCATTGAAGTCAATTCTCTTGACTTTTAACTTGTTAAGCATATTGTAAAGGGTGAGTAATTAGGTAAACCACACAACATGCCAATCAGCCTAGTACACGAGAGCAGCACAGTAAGTGGAAACTTTCAGTATAAAGATAGAGAAGTTTTGGCCAGTCAACATTATTATACTGTAATTGCTAATCAGCTTGAAAGCTTAGAGACTGATAAATGTAAAGGGAGAAAAAGCAAGAGAAAAAAAAACCCCACATATATGGGGTTGTTTGGTCATGTGGCTTGAGCAAGGCAGAGACACAGACCTGAACTAAGGCTTTGGTGATTGCGTGAGATAGGGAAATCTTTACTGCCCATTCTTGTCTGCAAGGAACATGATGGTGATAGTTTATATAGATATGCGATCATTATTAAATTGTTTTGTTGTTTCTCTCCCCTTTCAAGCGGCTTCTTCCCTGTTGCTGTCAACTTTTTGAGACGAGTGCCTGTTTTAGGGACTATTCTTAACTTGCCTGGCATCAGATTGGTAAGGTTATTGTTTATTTACTTCTTGCTGATCTTTTTCTTACGAGATAGGATTAGCTTGAGGGTTTCTTATCCATTAGAAGATTAAAGGCTGAACAGAAGATATTGCTACAACCCAGATGTAAATCATGCAAGAGAAAAAGGCGGACGGAAAATGAGCACTAGGAATACTGCAGCTAAATTGATACCAACAGATGGACTAGGGAAATGTAAAACAAGCTGAAGAAGACAGGTTGGTTGCACTCCATAGAGTAAGCAAAAATGTTTTCAAGGTATTGATTGGTAGAAACATGATTACATAGACCACCTGGTAAGACCCACTAAAAAAACAAATTTCACATTTTGCTTAAAGGGAAACAGATATATTTCACTAAGAAATCGACTGCATTATTTCTGCATTTTAAAAGTATTTTGTTTGTCCTGCATGATAATGGATGATCCTGTTATATCTGTTGTCTATAAATAATAGTATTATTTCCCTTACCTTGCAGATCGCAGACAAAATAGGAGAATCCAACTCTATGGTATAACAGACTATAGGTGGCAGCTTTAATATTTTGATCAAAAGGTGCTTTTGGAGTGACCATCTACTCTCCGGTACGATAGCAGAGTGAACAAACAGATTTGTGTATCACAGTTGTTTGTTGTATGGTTGTATTGAGAAACACGGATGGTTAGACAGTGTCTATGATAAGGGATTTATGTTTGTCTATGCCTATGATGTGTAAAGTGTGTATTATATAGTCTGCAATGGTAGTCTGTTGTCTTAATATTTTCTGTACGTAATTATAGACTTGTGTTGGTGCAGAGCAGTTTTTTTTAAAAATACATACTACCGTAATACACACATTATTTTATTTTTTACAGATATACTCATAGAAAACACACACATGAGTCAGAGGATGGACAGACCGGGGCAGAAAAAAAATCCTTACTTAGATAATCCATGGCAAAAACACTAGCCATACAAGCCTAAATCCTCATGCTCAGATACCCTTCCTCCACTGGCTTTCACTGCAAAAGTTTAAATAGAGGCAGTAACTGGCTTTATATATTTAAACATCCAAGATAATCAGAGATCATTGCAGTTTTTAAAACAAAATGGAAACTTTCTGGCTCTTTCCCATTAGAATGAAACATCTCTGAATTTTATTTAGCAAGTCTTGGGTAACATCAGATTGTGTTGAATAAAAGGCAGTGGTTACATCGAAAGGCATGTTTCAATTACTGTGCCGCAAGCACTGACCTCTGTGAAGTGAGCAGCCACCGCTGGGTGGTGCACAGACCACTGTGCTACCACAGCTCAAGCAGTATACTTAAAAATAAACACTTGTTGATTTTACTCGCCAAACCAGACAGAAGACGTGGTTTGCAGCTAGGCTGGGATATTGGCACCTTTCGACCTAACATATCACGTTTGAGTAAACTTCTAGTTAATTGCCTTTTATGACGTGCTTGTTCAGGGCCACAGGTCTGTCTCCGCCCCACCCACCATCCCCCGAGATGACATAGAAAAGGGTAGGTCATATACCCTGCAGTGACATTATAGAAGTCTGTATGGCCATCTATGTACATTTTATCACGTCAAATGGTCCTGCATACATAATTATAAGTCCAGCCATTAAATAATGATTTGATTGTGGCCGTCGAAAACACCATGAAACAAATCATGTTATCCAAATAGGCACCATTCATCTATGATTTGGCCAAATTACAATGCCACCTGCTCAGCACATAACTTGCCTTTTTTTTTTTTAACTAGTGAGAGTTGCTTTGTTCTGTATGCAGCATTGAGCAAGGAGCAAACATGAGTTGTTTTAAATTTGGAAAAAATGCTCTGGAGACAGCGTACTCAGTGACAGGTATTGCTCTGTGTGTGTGTGTGTGTGTGAAAGTGGATGCTTATTGTTTGCTAGTGTTTCATTTGTACAGTCTAACATCTTCATGTGTCTGAATGAGTAAGCATCATAATTTACTGTTCACTAACCCGATATTTGTAAAATCACAATCATTGCTGATATACGGGCATATATTATCATAAATTTATCTTCTTCCTCTTCTTCTTTATTCTTCTTTTCTCTACTCCTGGAATGCCTCAAGGCGTTAGGGCAGGAAGAGATCTCTGGATTAGGCTCTTCTGTTTGCTTCGTATAAAATACTTCTCATGTCTGATATTTCTGTGGTCCATATTTTAAGTGATCGACCTCAGGTTCTGTTTCCGCTGTAGCTGTATAACATTGCTTCATTTGATGCCCTGTCTTGATGCCAGTTTTGTTCATGGCCAAACCATTTGATTTGTTGTCTACCTTTAAAGTTCTGTATTGGTTCTCGGTCGACTCTTTTCCTGATATCATCGTTCCTAAGTTGATCTTTCCTCATTGGATCTTTTCTTCAGGCCATGCCCGCGTAATGGGTAATGAACAGGCAGACAGATTGGCTGGATCTGCACCACTGGGTGGGGAATTGATACATGGCAAGGCGGATGTGGTCAAGGCCCTTTAGGAACAAACAACGGAAACAGTAGAGAAAGAAGATTATTATGGCCTGGAGAGAATGAGGCACCTGGGTTCGCTCACTACACTCAGAGGAAAGGCAAGACTGACATATAATCAGATTGTGACCAGTACCATCAGTATTGGAACTCTGCGCTGGCTGCTGAAGATGTGAACAGAGCTCGCATGGGAATGCCCCTGGTGCTATGATGTCAATTCTTGACTCAACTCACCTCTTTCCTCATTACACCTAGCATAGTATGTGAACATTTTATTTCTGTCGTGGCTATTTTATAAATGTATGTAGAAATAAATCACAGTGTCACAATATGTCAAATACACCTGGTTTTTTCCTTTTTTTATATAAAATATTAATAACGATGTCATGGACACTAATATGAACATATTGTATTCAGTAAAATAAAATTATTTGTCTTTTCTACTTCATGTTGTATCTTGTAATTTTTTATGTATTTTGTTGTGTGCTGTGCTGGGGAGGGGGGGGGGTGGTGGTGGAGAGAACCTTTGCGATTTCATTTAGGCGGCAAAAACCTGGATACCTTCTTATTTTCTTCCCCCAATGGAGCATAGGCCTCCAGCTGACAGCTTTTCGATGATTACCTGTATTTTGCAGTTAGGTGATGTAAGTATGCCAGCTTTTGGGAAGGGATCTCCATATGAAGGGGTCAAGGTTGTTGGTTCTACTGATTTTTTCGCAGAGATTCCTGTGCATTTAGTTCTTGCTAAGGCTGTGAAGGTCATGCTTTACTTGACAATCTCTGCAGGTGGCTAGTTGTTCTGTGGAATGAATCAAGAATTACCATCATTTATGCCTGGGCATTTCCACATATGCTCCGTTCCCGTCTTTAGTAGCCAGTGAAGAGTTGACATGCCAGAAGTACCAGTTGCAACCTGATTAAAAGTCTGCCTTTGTTTCCCACTCAGTGATGAATATCTTCCATAACCTCTACTCACCCCCTGCTGAGTGAGTCTTTCAGTGTAAAGTCGAGCACACTTTAGTCGAACTCTGTCATTTATATCGACATGATCAGCATAGTCTAGGCCATGTTATTAGTGTATTCTCTGTACTATGTGGGCTATCTGGATAAGTAGAACAATTTCATTAGGTGCCTGGGACTTTATCCGGACTCCACTGTATTTATTCTCTGTCTCTTCTATTGTACTGTCCATTAGATCCCATAGAGACTTCATCCCTTTATCATAAACTAGCTCCCAGCTAATCTTTCAGCCTTTTCCTTAGCTCACACACCTAAATCTCCTGGACAGAAAATCCACGATATGTTCCTGATCTGAGTCTTATCAAGTGACAGTTTTTCTAAGAAAAGAGGTCATCCCTTTATCATAAACTAGCTCCAGGCTCAGGTGAATGGCAGCAGCCAATCTTTCAGCCTGCTTCTTGGCTCACACACCTAAATCTCCTGGACAGAAAATCCATATGTTCCTAATCTGAGTCTTATCAAGTGACAGTTGTTCTGTGGAGAGAGGTTCAGTCACATGAGATAAAACCCAGTGCAATTAGGTTGATTCTCTAAATTTTAACTTGTGTTGTACAAACAACATTAACTAATGAAGAGTTGGCATGAAAATTTGGCTGTATCTGTGTGTCTTTACTTTTCCTTTCTTCCCCTTTAGCAACCTGGTGCAAGTTAGTGTTAAATTATACCTTCGTTTATCTCAGCTCGCCTGCTGCCACCTCACTAAAAATACTGAGTTCAGGGGCGCAGACACAAAGAAAATATGAGGGGAGGGTAGAAGAGGCCTAAGCCTTATTTCAGAGAAAGCAGATCTGGAAAAACAACTGAAACAAAAATAGAAAGGCTTAAGAATGGAACACCCACTATGATTTTAAAAACTATAAAGCACCAACAGAAAAAAGAAAACAAAAAAGACAGCATAAGAGAAGCTAGATAGCTGAAGTGAAAGCATTATTGCTACCTACCAACAAGCTTAAGTTGAATCAGAGCCTACTGTTGGTGGGAAAAACGGGGGGTGGGTAGACCCACTGTCCTCCTGAGGCATGTTGTCGACTAATTGTGGATGTCGACTAAAAGTCGACTAATTGTGGATGTTTTCTTCAAAATTGGAGGCGTTTGCCGGAAAAGCAAGAAACCAACAGTCTTCATACAAAAAAAAGCTGGATCTGTAATAATCTATCCACCGTGTTTTTTTTGTTTTTTTTGTTCGTTATAAAACCACATCCCTGTAGCTTTCACATACCTTCTCACAAACCTTCAGTGCAAATTATTCTGGCCACTGGAATACTGAGGAACCACTTTGTGGCAATGTCAGTATGCTCATTTTGGATCTAGCTTTCTTTAATTTATTCATGTTTCGATGAACAAGAAACCAAGCTATAGACTCACAGTTTGTGAACTTCCCTAGAAACGAGCGACAATTGCCTATGCATATGTGTGAAAGGATCTTGTTTTGTGAGAGGTAAAGAATTACAAGAAGGAAAGGAGAAAGACGAGAATGTCTGTTATTACGTTTTTTAAACAATCTCTGCTATTATAAGACAGTGTCTAGATTATATTGACAGACAAAGAATGAAATGATTCAGTCATCTAGTGAGAATACAGCTAGACCAAACCTGCATCATCATCATGTGCCTTGCCCACTGGTTTGGGCTATCATGCATCTCCAGTCTGCGATCTTCTGCAGCATGGATCAGTTTGTGTGCTGACACACCTCCATGCCATGCAACAAGACTGTCAAGAATCTTCTTGCGATGTCTTATTCTCTCCCTTCTTCCCCAGATTTGTCCAGTGGTCACAACATGTTCCATTTTCCCTCTTCTCAAAACATGGCTAAAAAAAATGATAACAGTTTTCTTCTGATGTCTATGATAAGTTGTCCTGCTTCCTTCAAACCCTCTTGGTTGCTCCTTTTGGCTGTCCAATGTAATTCAGCATTCATTAAGCATAACCAACACATGGTCAAATGCAGCCACTTTTGCCTTTGACGCCTTCGAAGGTTTCCAGAACAGACAGGAAACAGTTGCAGTAGCACTTGATTTAGAAGATGATTATAACAAAGTTAGATACGGTATCTTGATGAAGGCGCTTATGGAGAAGGGAGTCAGTCCTTGGTTGGTGAACTGGATAGCAGCTATTTTGTATACTCGTCGGTTAGACCGCCTGGGTTCACGGACCTCTGAACCATGTATTATAGCTCAAGGACTACCACAGGGATCTGCAATTTCACCTGTACTTTTCAACATTTTTACTAGCAAGATTTCGGACCTGGAAACACCCGGAGTCGGCAGAATATTGACATTTACAGAGGATGTTCTTGAATATAGGAGGGGAAGTAGTTGTGATCAATCAGCTCAAGAATTACAGGCGACATTGGATTAGGTGACCGACTGGTGTACAGAGATGAGTGTTATAATTAACCCAGAAAAGGCAACCGTCTGTGGTGTTCATTGGACAACAGGATTGTTAGAGCTGATGTTCCAATCAAAATAAATGGCAGGGACATAAAAAGAGATCGCAGACTGCGATACCTGGGAATCGTCTTTGACAGAAGTTTGTCTTTTAAGGATCACATAAAGGAGGGGGGGGGGGGGGGGGGGGGGGTTGTTGTGACAAATGCTCAAAAAGGTCTTAATGCACTAAAGATTATGGAAGCGATGGACATGGAGCAGAAAATGCTGTTTCCACTTAACCAGCACTTGATCATCTCAGTAACTCACTGTTTCAAAGAGTCAGCTAGAGAAACTGGAGCGCATTTAAAATGAAACTATGTGGGTGATCCTGGGATGTATAAGAGACACCCCGATTGTGTGCATGCGATACATCTTTGCATTGTCGACAATTGCAGATAGACTAAAGGTGCTGCAGGCTAAGTCATACCTCAGATTAGCTGCAGACAAAGAACACCCACTTTTTGAAACTTTGGTTGCAGGTAAAGGTCAGAGGCTGAAAAGGGGAAAATCATGGATGGCTCAGATAGCAGAAGACACAATAAGACAAATATGCATGCTGGAGAACATTGTGCGATGAGAGGAGTGGGTCAGAGTATCAGAGGACAAGTCTGACCTGTGTAGGGTTATGATCACATTGGGTCGGGAGTGTAGAGAGTGGCCAGCGGGTGACAGAGAGGATGAAATCCAACAGTTGATTCACGACAATCTCGCCCAGTTGATCTGATTATCTATACAGATGGTTCGGTGGTGAGAGGAAAGAGAAGTGCCTGGGGGTTCGTAGCGAAAGCCAGTGGAAAATCTTTAGTGCAAGACGGCCTAGCATACGACACCATAACGTCTAGCATGAGAATGGAGGTGGAGGCGGTAACTGCAGCTCTCTGGTGACTAGAGAAAAAAATGCATACACATGTCGTAAATGTAACAGACTCTGTAAGTATGCTGAGAAAGGTGAAGACAGGGATGCTTCGAGCAGAGTGGCAAACTTCACTGAAAATATCAGGGTAGTTAGCGTACTTTGGATCTTTTCTTCTGGTCATGCCGGCGTGGTGGGTAATAAACAGGCAGACAGACTGGCTGGATCTGCACCACTGGATGGTGAACTGATGCATGACAGGACAGATGTTGTCAAGGCCCTTTGGGAACAAGTAACGGAATCAGTAGAGAAACAAGATTATTATGACTGACTCGCTACACTCAGAGGAAAGAAAAGGCGAGACGGACCTACAACCAGATTGTGACCGGTACCATCAGTATTGGAACTCTGCGCTGGTTGCTGAAGATATGGACGGAGCACGCATGGGAATGCCCCGAGTTCTGTGATGTCAATTGTTGACTTAACTAAGTATAATCAAACTGCACATTATTTTTTTTTTTTTTTAGCAGAACATTTGGGAGGAAGACGAGGGGAAGACCAAGAAAGAGACGGATAAATATTGCAGCGAAAACCTGCCCAAAAGAAAAGAGAGGAAAAAATGGGTGGGGGGGGGGAGGGGGGGTTAATAAATCCAGCACTAAAGAAACCAGAGAAACCCAAGACTGGTGCCGGTGAAGCGACAAGAGAAGTGGCAGACGAGAACTCTTCTATAAAAAAAATAGTGTTTCTCTGCAGGAAGTGACATCACAATACTTGGGTGCCAGAGATTGACCAGAGGAAGAAAAAAAAAACCAGTCTTCTTTTCTCGCTGCCTGTGCTCGATCACTTTTCGCCTTTTTGGAACGATTATCATGTTTAAATCATAAACTTTCCCAGGATTTTATCATATGTCAGTTAGTGCGGTAAGTACGATGCACGATTGTTAAGTTGGTGAGTGGTAGCATGTTTTGACTCCGTCTCCCTGACGATGGCAGACGCCAAGGGATCACGGATCACAACAGCTGCCAGCAGACTACTGTTTTCTGCTTGTATGTCTTTTTTCTTTATTTCCCTCTTTCTGAGTTGTACATAGAAAACGGCGTTTCTATATAAAAATGTACATCATTATATTAACCCTTAGCATCACTTGAGTTAGTGATCGTACTATGTAAATATAATAAATATAAATAATTAAATAAATACGAAGAGTGGTGAGAGTGAGACATGTTGGGCTCTCTTTTGAATAACGGTCCCAAATGAACTACTACGCAGACAGTTAACCCAAACAGAGCCTCATTACGTCCTGCTCTACAAAGATTTGAAAGCTGTAACTGTGGAAATATAAGAACGAAAAGTATGAGGAGAATGGGGCAATTCTACTACTTACCGATATTAAAATCCTTTATACGTGAAAATTGTGGCACAGAAGTTGCAAATAGTGCCAGAATGTTCTTTCAGGCTGTTCACTATTTCAACAGGGCGCGGCTTGTCCGCGATTCTAGTTCCAGGCGAGACATATTCAATAATGCGTGTTTTAATGTACGCGCATGTCGCCTTGGAACAACTTCAAACCAGCAGTCGCCTCAGGACAACTTCAAACCAGCAAGCCGCCACTATGGCACTCCACTATCCCGACCACCTCTTGACTGTGGCGAATGCGACAACGCTGGCTGTTGCGATGGAAGAAGTAGCTCATGACTGTTTTCCTGCGACTATAGTGCCACCTCCGAGAGTATCCCCTGCGCCGCTACGCGCGGCGCAGAAGGGACTAAACTAGATGGCTAGGACTCACCAGCAGATACATTGGAGGAAGCTGCAGAAGCTGCTTCTCGTGAGTCCCAGCCATCTAGTTTAGCCTCGATAATTTGGGACCGTTATTTGGAAGATAGCCCCTCTTCTGATATATTTGTATTTTCACATTTTTAACAAAAGCTATGTTGGAGTCTGTTTACTAGGACCCCTTGTTAAAGCAAAACAATTATAATCTCTTAAACAAGTGGACAATTGGCAAGGAACAGTTGCTTAATTCCATATAAAACCTTATTTGCTAAATTTGAACAAAGATAAATGAACAAGTCCAGGAAGAAGGAAATTAGAAGGATGCCACCAAAGAAGATGAAGGAAGTCCTTCTAGAAAAACTATGATAGGGTTTATTGAATTGGTTTGGTCTTATTAACCTCCTTTGTTTTTCTTTTAAAATCTCCAGAAAACACATATAATGATAGAACTGTGTGAGAAATAGGAAAGACAGCATGTCAGACATTGCTTTTATAGATATATGAGAGGAGGGAGAAAGAGTTTGTGAATGAGAAGGGAGAGAGAAAATATTCAAGATGCACGGCATAGTTAATTTTTATCTACACTCTGTTCTAATAGGTGGGATTCCAAACAAACATCAAAATAAAGAAAGAAAAGCCAGTGATGTATTTTCACAAAACGATTTATTTTGCAGTGTTAATCTCTGCATATCATAATAAGTATTATAATAATTATGTATCATTTGCTATGATAATTTTACATACATTTACAGTTACATTTCAAAATAATTATGTTTTTAGATGAATTCATGGCTGGACAACAACATTCAACTGAATGTCTTCTCATGGAACTAGATAATTAACGAGCAGAAAGTTCTTTCACACAGGGAGTAGCTCACCTTATTCCTGCATGATGGTATGTGTAGATTTGATTCCTGGTTTTATAAGCTCCCACTGAGTTCTTTTGGACTATGTCATTGTTGTCATCATATCTTTAAATTCTCTGAATGTAAGGCTATTGCTGTTCGCCTTCTTCTACTCTCCCTCTTTTTTCTCCTTCTCTTTTTTTTCTGTTGCCTTTAATCCCCAGTGGTTCTTTTGCTCTCAACCATATCATTACAAGCTTTCCTGGCCTGTGTTATTCCATGTCTTATGTTACGTTATGTTATCAGTATCAGGGCACGTTGGGTATTCCCATGAGTGCTCAGTTTTCCGATGTAACAGCCACTCCAAGGTGCCTCTACTGATTGTTTCCATGAAAAGTTGGTTGTCTGCTATCTCAGCCTTGAAGGTGACATAGACGTGTTGTACTGGACTTCAGGCTTCCCTACATCAATCCAAATATATTCAAGAAAACAGTAGTCAGCTTGAAGTTGTTGATGCCCCCGTAGAACATTGATTTATTTTTTATTTTTGCTCGTAAATTTAGCAGATGCACTCAGCCAGATATCTCCAGATGCCTCTATCTCCTGCAGCCCTCTCCATTTCTTCCTAATTTTACTTATCTTTTTATCTTTGTAACTTGCCTTCTCTATATGTTTTAAGGACTCCATCTCTTCCTCTTGGCCTGTGGGTTTCATTGAAAGAACTTTCCAGTTACAGTGTGTTTTTTTTTTGGTTTTTTTTTCCTATACATTAACACGGGAGCCACCATAATTTTGTGGCTAGATGCTGTCTGCAGGTAGGAAGGTCATGTTTGAATCCAATCAGCGCCAGCATTTTTTCCTTGGCTCCCAGATCGACCCAGCCTCAAACGGGCACCATGTAGTACCTGGGAAACAAAGGTGATCAGTGTGATGTTGACCCATCACCCACTGAGTGCTGATTTGTGCATAAAACATAGTTCTAGTACTATAACATCGATATGCCTGATGGTGTGGATTAGGGTCCTGTGTACAGCATGCACAACTTTTCTTTACACATTGCTTGACCAGTTTTGCATTAATAAGCAATGTATTTATACTGTTAAAATCTGTTTTTCCAACCAGTCTTTTCCAATAATCACACCTCTGAAAATAAAAATACTTGAATACTTAGCCAACAACTGATCTGTTACAATCCAAACATTAATCCTGACATCATCAACTTACAAAAAAATTAATCACCGACAAAAAATATACAGTAGGGAAACAAGAATCAACTTTGCAAGAACAATTTTTTCTAGAGACTTCTATTTTCTTTTGTTTTGTTTTTCTCTCCTTGGTGTTTGTAGTCCAAGTCCAAGTCTGAGTGTGTGAAGGTTGTTGTGCGATGCAGACCAATGAACGAGAAGGAGATCGCAGATGGCCATCAGAGGTATCTTAACAGTTGTGTCTGTTTTTGTATTTGATAGGAGGAGCACTGGCAAAAGGATTACAATACTGGTATCAGATATCAATGGATTTATATGTTACTGGTGTCAGATATCAATGGATTTATTTGGTACTGGTGTCAGATATCAATGGATTTATTTGGTACTGGTGTCAGATATCAATGGATTTATATGGTACTGGTGTCAGATATCAATGGATTTTTTTTGGTACTGGTGTCAGATATCAATGGATTTATATGGTACTGATGTCAGATATCAATGGATTTATATGGTACTGGTGTCAGATATCAATGGATTTTTTTGGTACTGGTGTCCGATATCAATGGATTTATTTGGTACTGGTGTCAGATATAAATGGATTTATATGGTACTGGTGTCAGATATCAATGGATTTATATGGTACTGGTGTCCGATATCAATGGATTTATATGGTACTGGTGTCCGAAATCAATGGATTTATTTGGTACTGGTGTCAGATATCAATGGATTTATATGGTACTGGTGTCAGATATCTATGGATTTATGTAATTTTCCCATCTTGCCTATATAGCTGGTTGGAAGCAGACACTTCCAGTTAAAACTTTCCAGTCCAGGTACCTGATCCAAAGCAAATATTAATCAGTATGACTTTCCACATAACCCACCTTGAAACTAAGATATTCATAAAAACTAGTATCCAAGAAAGGTGGCTGGATATCCACACCAAATTGCCTTCCTAAGACTCGCTTCTTTGTGTCTCTAAAGAGTGACCATGTATCACATTCAGACAAAGGACAAGGCACAACAGTCTTCGTCAACTTCAACAAGTTCTTTGGTGTAGGAAACACTGAGATGTTTCCTTGCAACTGAGTGTCTGTTCTCATCTCATCCAATACAAAGTTTATTGGTACACAGGAAGATATGAACTGCATGATAGCTTTCATAAAGGCTACCGGCCCCGCGGATAAAAGTTTCTGGCACAAGGATCAAAGAGAAAGCAAAGAAAGACTTTCCAGTTTTATTAAAGTACATATCTGGTAGCAGATGTTGACATTCAGGACTCTACAATTCTCTCTGTCATCTGATATGTTTATGAAGTTGATGTTACATACATTGCCCAAAGTTTAGGCCTCCCACATACATCTCTCTTTCTGTCACTCTCTCTCTTTGTCTCTCTCTTTCTGTCACTCTCTCTCTCTCTCTCTTTCTCTCTCTCTCTCTCTCTCTCTGTGTGTGTGTGTGTCTCTCTCTGTGTGTCTCTGTCTCTGCCTGTCTTTCATATTACTGTCTCCACAGAAGGTTATAATATTTATTAACCTAAGAATAACGATATAAATTGTAAACATTATCCCCAGTATCATTGCTACAGAGATGATTGTTCATTACTGTCCCCCATTTCACTTGTTAATGTGCCATTCTCAACTGAACATTTCCCAGGGTGGTAGAAATGAACGTCAAGCGGGGACTGATAGAAGTGCGGAACCCTAAAGGTGGTGACTCTGAACCATCAAAGAAATTCACATTTGACTCTGTGTATGACTGGAAGTAAGTGATCACCATTGTTTTTCTCTCAGTTTTTATCATCTTCTTTTTCGTTTGCATTCATCCTTAAAAGGGTGATTGATACATTGTGTTGTGGTTTACAGCTAGGCTGTGCTATATTTGCCTTTTGACCTAAGACATCAGATTTCAGGAGATCAGTAATTTGTCACTTTTTACATCATGCTTATCAGGGGGAAGTAACTTTATTCTCCCTTTCTCCAACGCAGTACAGTAACAGATATTTAGTAACATAGATAACAGTATTCTTCTAAATGTTTATACCTGAGGTCCAGCAGATTAGGAGACATTTTTCTGTTGAACCAGATAACGGCAAAGGCATAAACAACAACAGTTGTAGATGGACAATTTACTTGCTTAATGTTTTAAAAATACCATTGTTGGCTAATGTTACATCTGCTTCTGTTAAGAGGTTTCAAAATGTAATCCACACGACTGGAACATTGTTTCTGAGAGCTGTTACGTGATTGAGTGAACAATTTTGTTGAGCTGCCAGTTAAAGGACGTAGCTCTAGAATGTAATGTTTTTTTCATCTTTTCTTTGTTCCCTTTTGGTTTTTAGTATCATGTTTAATCAAGATATTTGGAGTCAGCTGTAGTGTGTGCTGTTTACATGACAGCATTCACAGCAGTCAGTATTTAATTTACACCAGCAACTACTTCTTTATATCCAGAACATCTAGAGCCGCCTGTGGAGTACTGGAATGTCTTACTTGTTTTGGGTGTTGTTGTTTTTTTTCACTACTGCTATCTCACTTTCTTCTTGATATCACCACTTGTGATCTTGTCTGTTCTTTTTGTTCTGCCTCCAGTCTAGTGTCACATAAAGATAATGTCAATATTTGTATTTGCCAGCTCCAAACAGAGGGATCTGTACGATGAAACGTTCTATGATCTCGTCGACTCTGTGCTCAAGGGGTTTAATGGAACCATCTTTGCTTATGGGCAGACAGGAACAGGGAAAACACACACCATGCAGGGTGAGTCCACAGATACAGAATTGTTGTTACCAGAATTTTGAGTTCAGTTCAGTTCAGAAGGGACATCAGAGCACTCGAGATTTTTCTGTTAGTGCTCTGCCGTCATCTTCAGTTGCCAGCAAAGAATTCCGGTTCCTGCAGGGCCAGCAACAGTTTGTTTGCCCGCGTTGCCTTTTTTCTAAATGGAAAGTGTTGACCAGGTCCCGTGGTCACTCCCAGCTGTACCATTCACTCCAGACAGTGATGATCTATTCGTGCCTTTGCACTGTTCACTTACTCCCAAAGGGCCCTGACCACATTTAGCTTGTCATATATCAGTTCCCCATCCAGGCGTGCAGAACTAGCCCGCCCGGTCTGTCTGCCTGTTCATTTCCCAGCACACCTGGTCAATTCTACTAATTCCTCATATGATGTCAACCCCAAACAATCAAGAGGTATTAATGATTGGAGAAGAAAAGTAGCAGCTGGAGATGACAAGCAGCAGTCTCGTAGAGTGCGCAAACAAACTGAAAGACATCAAATGATGAAAATGCATTGCAGCTGACCTAAATTTTGATTACACCTAATTGATTTCTGTATAATAATCTACCTGGATATCAATTTTCAGCAAGTACTTCTGGAACTATTTATCTTTCTATCATGATACCAGACACAGTGGCTTAGTGTTTGGTGTTCTTGCCTGCTGATTCAGTGGTCCAAGTTCAGCACCAGTTTCCAAACTAGTACAGTTATGCGTTGGCCCAGCCTCATGAAAATAGGTCAAGACAATTTTGGGAGGAGCAGAGATGACAAAGCATGAACTGGCCATCCCAATTCATAATGGAATGGCCCCCGCATATGCGAAAAGGATCTGCCATGAGACTAGGTTTATTGTTTGTCATGATATCAGACTATCTGTTATCATTTCCCATTCTCCATGTTTGACCCCAACTGACCCTGCCAGGTGTTAGAGAGTTCTCTGCTCATGACAGGATCACGACTGACCGTCTGTCTGCCTCTGTGTGTTTGCAGGAACTAAACAAAGCAAGGATGACTGGGGCGTTATTCCAAATTCCTTTGAGCAGATCTTCCAGCACATTTCTCAGTCAGAGAACCAGCAGTACCTGGTGAGGGCATCCTACCTGGAGATCTATCAGGTGTGTATATGGCAGACGTGACTTCCAGCATTTACCTGGCTTCTTCTAAGTCTTCAGGTGATCTGACGGTCGCTCAGCAAATTTTAGTTTATTTTACATGGAGGATCTGAATTTGTAATTTCTGAAAGGGCAACATCAAGGATAGAAAAAACATAGAGGATGGATGTTTTTATGTGTCAATGTGATGTAACATGTTTACATGTTTCTCAAAGATCTGCGCTGTTTTTTTTAAATTTTAATTATTATTATTACCATCCTGATTGTCTTCTTCTTTTTTTTTGGTCCTCTCTGACCTGTTGTTGTTGTTGTTATCGATCCAGCGGCGCATGAGCTTTCGCCCTTTGGCCCAATGCCATGTAGTGGAATTTGCATGTTTTCACAAGCTGTTCTTTTCCTCCGTACAAGGTGTTCCACTTGTCTGGTCTCGGAGGGAGTAGCATTCTTCTTGTCTCACTGAGTTCTGGGCACTCAAAGAGATGGTGTTCAACAGTTTCGTAGGGGTAGTTACATAGCTGGCACTCTGGGGAGTGTTGTGGCTGTATTCTGTTTAGGTGTCCATTGAGTGGAGTATGTTGCGTTCTAAGTCTGAAGATGGTGGCCTGGTCCCTTCTTGTTAGATGGTTAATGCTGTCATTTAGGATCAGGGCCAGACATATGTCTATAAACCTCTCTTCCAGTGTCTCCCATGGCCCATCTGTTCAACCAAGTCTCTTTGTTTATAGCTCTTATCAGTGTTTTTGCTGTCTGGAGGGTTGTCACTGTAGGTGGTTGTTCTTGTGTTGCTCCTTTCTTTGCCAATCTGTCAGCTCTGTCATTACCTGGTGTGCCGGAGTGACCTGGAATCCACTGCATCACTATTCTGATGTTGTATGAGGTAATAAGCTGATCAGCATCCAGGATTATCTTGGCTATATCAGTTCTGCAGCGTGCACTGCCCTCCAGAGCTTGAAGGGCAGACATTGAGTCTGTGAAGATGACAATATTTTGGACCTTTGAAGGGTAAACATCCATTACAGTCTTTAGGTGGTATACTGCTGTTTCCAGTGCAATTATTTCAGCTTCATAGTTTGAACAGAATTCCCCGCATGCATCAAAAATCTCTTCAACAGATCCATCGGGATAACCTATGTAGATTCCTTAACCTGCTTTAATGGTAGCTTTAAATGCTGATCCATCAGTATAGACATGTATCCATTCTTGGGGGTAAGAATCAACGGTCTTTAGTGATGAGTTCATAAGAGCGATTGGGTCGGACTGTTTGGTTTCCTCGCCTACCAATTTAGTTCGGACTTCTGGAGCTTTAAAGCGAGCATGTGGTGGTAGGTTTCTTGCAACATTCTGTATTCCTTGACGTCTTTCTGGGAGTTGGTATCTGTCCTGAATTTCATTAACACAGTGTAAAACCGATTTGTGCTTTATTCTTTGTTTGTATTCCCAGTTTTCTACAAGACGTCTATTAGGATGGTTACGATTTTTCCTAACGCATCTTTCATAAATTTCTAAAGTGGCTTTTTCTCTCCGCAACCCGAGGGGTTCCACATTTGTATGGATTTCACATGCAGCAGTTGGTGTAGACTGCATAGCTCCGCAGATTAATCGGAGGGCATTATTTTGTACTCTGTCAAGAGTCTCTAGGTTAGTTTCGGAGCAAGTTGTAAGCAGTGAGTTGTTGTACTCTATCACAGAGCGAACATATCCTAGATATAAGCCCCTCAGAGTTTCCTTGTCTGATCCCCATGATGTACCTGCAAGTCTCTTTAATAACTGTAACCGCCTCAATGCCTTATTCCTGTTGTTTTCAATATGGTTCTTGAGGCTGAGCTGCCGGTCAAGTGTGACTCCAAGGTATGTGGGATGCTCTTCTTTCATCACTTGGTGTTTGTCTAACCTCAGGTTAATATTCTTCCTTGCTACTTGGTGGCTTTTGGTAAAGATTGTGTAGACCGTCTTTGCACAGTTAACCTTGAGTTTCCATCTTTGGCAGTACTCATGCAGTCTTCTAAGGTCTCCATTCAGTCTTTGGGCTCCACTTTCCACATTTTCATGACTCTGCCATATTGCTAGGTCACTCTCTGACCTGTACATCAGTGTTAAAATCTTTAGAACTGACCTTTTTGAAAATTTTGTTTTAACTTTTTGAGTCCCTGAGGGTTTAGCATCACAGGCCCAAGGGGTAGTCAAGAGAGATGTAAAATCGGCGCATCATGTGTTCATTGGGCTTCTAGGCGGGAGCCTATGAACGTATGATGCGTTCCTTGGGACTCAAAGAGTTTTTAAAAATGCATTTTTAGAATTCTCTGAAAGTCTACTCTAAAAAACTAGTAGAGGAAATTTAGAATCTTGGTCATTTGTAATAAATATCCAGGGGGTTGAACCTCTACGCCTCTGAACTGACAAGCAGGCGCAAAGTCCCCTGCTTCTTTTGTGATGTTACATTACTAAAACAATTAATAATTTTGTCCAGTCATGGTGTAGCAGCTAGACGCGCGCCTGCAGATCAGAGGATCGTGGGTACACATCCTGGTGGAGCCTGACTTCTTTGTTTAAATTACCATGGCTCCGAGGTCCACCCAGCCTTGAGTGGGTACCAGGTGCAGTCCTGGGAAGTAAAGGCACTGATGCTGACCACATCTCCCACGTTGCCGATTGGTCTAGCCCTATATGCCTAAAGGTGTAGAAAAGGGACCTCTACTTAATGTATAAATCAGAAAAGGCTTTTTCTGCGTACGGGAAAGTAATCACAAAGTACAAACAGAGCAAAGAATTCAGTGATTTCTTTCCCTTTGACTGTTTAGAAGTAGTGTTTGGTAGATAGCAGTGACGCACTAATGAAATTGTATACATCACCCAGACATCAATTTTTTTTTAAATCTTTAAATACTAACCTCACTTCTCTTTTTAAAAAAATTGGGGGGGGGGGGGGGGGGGCTGCTAAATAATCATACCCACCTTATCTACACATGATGCAATTGCTGCCATTACCAAAGCTGTCATACAGGCATACTGGACACTGTACAAAGACAGAAAAATGGCTTTCTTGGGAGAGAGGGTTTCATAAAAAGCAATAGTTTCAGTTGAGTTTGCTGTTTTTGTTTGGTGGATCCAAGTTGGCTGATGCCCTTTGTGTTTACTTCTCGGTTCACAGTCTCTCAGAATATGTCTGTAAGATAAACATTCTTCTTCTTCACGTCCATTGGCTGTCAATTATGGGGACAGTCTTGGATTTTTCATCTACTTCTAGGCTTTTATCTTGTTCATGACTTGAGTGTTGCGTGCTACAAATCTGGCTTATTGTGTAGACTGTTGGTTCCTTGCCTCTCATGCGGTTGCACTCCATTGAAGGAAACATTTGTCCTTTCTGTGTTGGCCAGGCTCCACGCTCCACGTTGGGAACCTGTTTCTAAGATGACCATGTAGAGCTGTAGATAGATCTTGATCACTTGAGCCCTGGTGGGGATGCACTAGCTCTTGTGGTTCTGCACTTCTGTCTCCCACATACAAGTTCAATAGCCCCAGTTTTCTCCTTGGGTAATTGGGAAATAACTATAAACACTGCATTCTGTAGCAGTAACCAAGATGGATTAAACACAGTGTAACATTTGTGCTTTTAAATAATGCGGAACAAACAATACATTGCACAATTTATTGCCAGTAAAATTTTGCTGTATCTTGTCAGGTGCGTTTCTACAGAGTCAGACCAACATAAAATGAAGCACAGAAACTGAATAAATCCAAATGAAATGCGAATGGTTTCTTTCAATGCATCATGTTTGTCTAGTTGCCAGAAGTTCACTGTGGTCACATGCCTTACCAGGGTAACTTCAAATTTACTATAAATTCTGTGTGCTTACAAATGAGTGAGCTATTGATTTTAATTGTTAAAGCTTCAGACATTTTCACCAGTCGCCTGTTCGGCAATCAGTTGTGCAATGTATTGTTTGTGTCCACGTTATTTAAATTCATTACAGGAAAATATTGTTTTTTAATTTATGCTATTCCTCATGCAGGAGGAGATTCGAGATCTCTTATCTAAAGACCAGAGCAAACGACTGGAACTCAAAGAAAGAACTGACACTGGCGTGTATGTGAAGGTGAGTATGTGCATGTTTGTATCATCTGTCACCTGCTGTAGGTTGACTTGAGACTCCTTCATTGATAGTTCTTCTGCTACCAATGTTTGTTTCATTTGCAAACATAAACAATCTTTATTGTCATAGTGCATTATCATGTCTGGACATTCAATCTGAGACAGTAGTGATAGCCTGGCATGTTTTCTCTGTGACTCAGTAAGTGTTTTCAAGAAGATCTAGATGGGCTGAGCTTAAACTCAGAGGTTGCCTTGAGTCCAGAACATGGTCCTGGGTGACAACAGTTTTTTTTTTCTTATTGTTCCAGGTATTATCGGTGTAGGAGGAAATAAACAGGTGGATAGGCTGGCTGGGGGTTGGGTTCGCTACCAGCTGTGGGCAGTTTGGTAGCAGATCGTCTTGCATTGGGTTTAGCAGTAACATTGAGAGCAGGCCATTTGGAAAGAAAAAGCAAACTACCAAATGTAATATTGCCTGCTGAAACCACAAGCAGTCAAAAAATGCTGGGGTTTGGTTGTGAAAGATCTTGTAAAGGAGACAGTACATTTTTTAATATGTAACACATATTTTCTGTTTTCAAGGACTTGTCATCATTTGTGACCAAGAGTGTCAAGGAAATCGAACATGTGATGAATGTAGGAAACAGTAACAGATCTGTCGGGTAAGTGTTTCCTTTTTCTTCTCTTCTTTCTGTTCAGTCTTTTCCCTGCCTTTGGCTGCTGAAGATTGGGACAGAGTGCTCTCCTGAATGCTGTGATGTCAGCTCCTAATTTAACTCCTCTCAGCTCTGTTGCCTAGCTGCTGTTGTTTTTGTTGAGTCCTGATATCTGTATTCTTCTCTTTATATTCCAGTCCAGGAACAAATAAATGAGTTAAAGTCAAGGACTTTTTTAACGCTGGGGGCTATCACAAATATGTTGCTAGGCTTGTATTTTCTACTAGACCATTCAACACTTGTTGGGTGAGTCAGCATCCTGCCAGCCGCCTTTACATCCCATGATTTGATCCAGGACATAGACACTGGGTCAACTGGAAAGCCAAGGTCATTTTTGGAAAAAAATAGGTCCTGATGCAGATCCAAACACACAACCAGCAGGCAAGCATTTAGCCACTACACCACCCATAGCTCCCAGTTAGTAATTGTTTTTTTTTTTTATTGTTGTTTAGTTCATTATCTTATATCAGAGAAATTGTTCCCAAACTTGTTTGGTCTTCCTTTCAGGGCCACAAACATGAATGAACACAGCTCCAGATCTCATGCTATATTTATTGTTACGATTGAGTGCAGTGAGGTGAGTGGCATGTTTAATATTTTTGTTTAGTTATTTTAGTTACAGGTAAGCTGAGTAGAGTTTCAAGAGTTAACATCACAGCACTCTGAAATTCTCATAAACACTTCATTCCTATCTTCAGCAGCAAGCGAAGAGTTTTATCTTATCCTCGATGATACAGAATGTCTGTCTTGCCTTTCCTCCGAGTGTGCAGTGCCAGTCTGATAACCTAATCACTTCCACTTGCACCATTTCCAATGCACTTTGATAAGATTGTGCCTCACACTATCCATGTGCTCCTAGAGAGCCTTGACAGCATTTAGCTTGTCATGTGACAATTCATGACCAAGTGGTGCAGAACCAGCAAGTATGTCGGCATGTTTTTTTCCCAGCACATCTGCATTACCTGGAATAAATATTCAAAAGGCAACTTCTTCAGCTGTAAACTCTGGTGGAAAGTTCTGGTTGTGCGTCAACTTCTGGACTTTAATTTTGTCCCAGAACTTGAGTTTTGCCTGCGCATCAATTTTACAGCTCTGGTTTATTTGTTTGCAGGCTGTTGGTTCCTCAACTATCAGGCAGATGCACTCCGACTTTAAAGGAAACCCCCTAATTATTTGACTGTTATGATATGCTTGTTAGGGGCCAGTTGATCCACCCCCCCCCCCCACCCCCTCCAAAAGGGCCCCCTGAACCAACACAGGAAGTTACATAAACAACAGTAGCATTTAACGAGAGGGGAGTAATAAGAGAGTATATATGTAATAGTTGGAGTCATGATAACATAACAGCTGTACACTTGCCTGTCAGACTGAAGGTCTAGGGCTCAGATAATCTCCTCAATCTGATTCCTTGGCTCCCAGATTGATCCATCCTCAAATTGGCAATAGGTGGTATCCTGGGAAGCAAAGACTGTCGGCCTGATGTTGTCCACATCATTCATTAAGTACTGATTGGTCTATAAAAGTATAGGTCCAGAACATATGCCAGGTGTACCAAAGATGGCAAAAAGGGACCTTCACTTACTTTACCTGTATGTAATGAATAGTACCGATTACCAAACACAGATCTTATTTTCCTTGTGGCTGAAAGAGTTGAGGGATCCATTGCCTTTCTCTGCAATCAGTCAGTCATTTTCTTATCTGCAGAGAGTTAACTGTTTGCTTCTCTTGTGACAGGAAGGGGAGGACGGGGAGAACCATATCCGTGTTGGCAAGCTCAACATGGTGGATCTGGCTGGTAGTGAGAGACAGAGCAAGACTGGGGCTACGGTCAGTGCTGGATGTTGTTGTTGTTGTTGTTGTTAGTGGTGATGATGTTGTCCGTTGGTAGTGTTTGACTTAGTGTTTGGAGAAGAGGGAAAATGGAATCTGTTGTGACAGCTGGAAAGATCTTTGGAAATAGAGGTAGAGGAAGGCAGCTGAGAAGATTCTTCACAGCCTTATGTCAGGGCATATGGGGGGGGGGGGGGGGGGGGGGGGGGTCAACACTTGCGCTGATTAATACTGTTGTGGAGAGGCGTGATTGCACATGCCAATCGGCAAGGCACTTGATAGTAATGGTGGTGATAGTGTTTAGTTGTTGTTTAATTATTATTTATTTATTATGTACCTTTTCTTGAAGTCTTTGTTTTTCTGCTGATATTGTATGTTGTGATTGATGAAAAGGATGATACAGAATATGATGATAATGTTGAACTTTTTTTATTGCTGCCCAGTTAAGCATAGGCCGTCAGCTAACTCATGTCAAGCTATTTGTTAACTTGTTGGTAGACTTAGCAGCTGAAGTTTTCCAATCTCAGCCCAATCTCTTTTAGTCACATCTTATGGCATGTATGAAAGGCTACAGTGGTACTATTATTTGATTCTCTTATGGACCCTGGTACAGACATTAGAAAAGTGAGATTTAAAAATGATGGCAGACATGGGAGATTAAGAACCAGGGAATCAGACCTCCGGAACCACCTAGAGTTTGCTGGGAAGACAACAACTGACAGTCCCTGCCTGACAGAGGACTGCAATGGAACAAGACCAGAAAGAAAACTGCAGATAAAGAAGTCTGGTGATCACTCTGGCAAACCTCTACACCCCAGAGTCGAAGTGGAACGACTAGGTAAAGGAAGTAAAGTAGATTAACGGGCTATTATGTTCTGAATGCTGATACAAACTGGGATTTTCAACTAACAGTCAGCAAAAAGAAGATAAAAGATTTGGTTTTAGTGACAAACCTGCCGTCTACATTGATGGTGAAGAGATGGAGACAGTAGACCATTTCACCTACCTAGGATCCATAGTGAATAACAAACTGGACCAAGAATTCAACATCAGGATAGGTCAGGCAGCAACAGCAATGAGCAGATTGACAAAGAGAGTTTTTGGAGAACAGAAAGCTCACAATTAAAACAAAAACTCTTGTCTAACTCAGGCTTGTGTTCTCATCACTCACCCTGCTTTATGGCAGTGACACTTGGTCAGTTTATTCGCACCAAGAAGAATACTTGGCATTAAGTGGCAGGACAAGATCACAAACACTGAGGTACTGGAAAGAGCAGGTACTGCAACAATTTTCTCAGTGCTCAGTCTACAAAGGTTCAGGTGGCTGGGTCACACCTGGAGAATAGAGTATGACAAAATCCCTAAGAATATCCTTTATGGTAAATTAAAGATGGGTAGAAGATGTTGAGGCTGACCTCTGTTATGATTTAAAGATGTGTGCAGGCGGGACATGAATGATACAGTATTGAGGTGGACTCGTGGAAACAGAATGCCATAGACCCTGTTGTGTGGAGGGGGCACATTAGGAAGGGAATGAGAATGAAGGAAGAAATAATTGCAGAAAGGATGAGAGCTGAGCATCTGTGAAGAAACACACTAAACACAAATGATGACAACCGCAGTCCTGAAATACCAACAATAATTGTGGAAGACTTCTCTTAATGCAGGAAGGTCTTGCTAGTCACACTTGCCAAGGCCATGGGCTTTGAGTCTCATGCCTCCCACGGCACAGTATGACTCTATCATCTAGAAAGATGAAAAAGTGCCAGCAATTGTGGTGTCAGTCAAAACTGTCTCCTGCTTACTCTCTCAGGGTGATAGGTTGAAGGAGGCCACAAAGATCAATTTGTCATTATCCACACTGGGCAATGTGATATCCGCATTAGTGGATGGCAAAAGTACACACATTCCATACCGAGATTCCAAGCTTACAAGGTTGTTACAAGGTGGGTCTTTTGTTACTGTTGTTGTTTGCTTCAGTGAGGGTCTGTTGTTACTGTTTTGTTTGCTTCAGTGTGGGTATTTTGTTACTGTTTTGTTTGCTTCAATGTGGGTCTTTTATTACTGTTTTGTTTGTTTCAGTGAGGGTATTTTGTTACGGTTTTGTTTGCTTCAATGTGGGTATTTTGTTAGTTTGTTTTGTTTGCTTCAGTGTGGGTATTTTGTTACTGTTTTGTTTGCTTCAATGTGGGTCTTTTATTACTGTTTTGTTTGCTTCAGTGAGGGTATTTTGTTACGGTTTTGTTTGCTTCAATGTGGGTATTTTGTTACTGTTTTGTTTGCTTCAGTGTGGGTATTTCATTAGTTTGTTTTGATTGCTTCAGTGTGGGTATTTTGTTAGTTTGTTTTGTTTGCTTCAGTGTGGGTATTTTGTTAGTTTGTTTTGTTTGATTCAGTGTGGGTATTTTGTTAGTTTGTTTTGTTTGCTTCAGTGTGGGTATTTTGTTACCGTTTTGTTTACTTCAGTGTGGGTATTTTGTTACTGTTTTATTTGCTTCAGTGTGGGTATTTTGTTACTGTTTTGTTTGCTTCAGTGTGGGTATTTTGTTACCGTTTTGTTTACTTCAGTGTGGGTATTTTGTTACTGTTTTGTTTGCTTCAGTTTGGGTATTGTGTTACTGTTTTGTTTGCTTCAGTGTGGGTATATGTGGTTTCATTGTGCCGTATGATGACTGTAATCTGTATATGTGATTTCATTGTGCTGTATGATCGCTGTAATCTGTATATGTGATTTCATTGTGCCGTATGATCACTGTAATCTGTATATGTGATTTCATTGTGCTCTGTGATCACTTTAATCTGTATATGTGATTTCATTGTGAAGTATGATCACTGTAGTCTGTATCTGTGATTTCATTGCGCCGTATGATCACTGTTATCTGTATATGTGATTTCATTGTGCTGTGTGATCACTGTAATCTGTATATGTGATTTCATTGTGCAGTATGATCACTGTAATCTGTATATGTGATTTCATTGTGCCGTGTGATCACTGTAATCTGTATATGTGATTTCATTGTGCTGTTTGTTCACTGTAATCTGTATATGTGATTTCATTGTGCCGTGTAATCACTGTAATCTGTATGTGTGATTTCATTGTGCTGTATGATCGCTGTAATCTGTATATGTGATTTCATTGTGCCGTATGATCACTGTCATCTGTATATGTGATTTCATTGTGCTCTGTGATCACTGTAATCTGTATATGTGATTTCATTGTGCAGTATGATCACTTTAGTCTGTATCTGTGATTTCATTGCGCCGTATGATCACTGTAATCTGTATATGTGATTTCATTGTGCTGTATGATCGCTGTAATCTGTATATGTGATTTCATTGTGCCGTATGATCACTGTAATCTGTATATGTGATTTCATTGTGCTCTGTGATCACTGTAATCTGTATATGTGATTTCATTGTGAAGTATGATCACTGTAGTCTGTATCTGTGATTTCATTGCGCCGTATGATCACTGTTATCTGTATATGTGATTTCATTGTGCTGTGTGATCACTGTAATCTGTATATGTGATTTCATTGTGCAGTATGATCACTGTAATCTGTATATGTGATTTCATTGTGCCGTGTGATCACTGTAATCTGTATATGTGATTTCATTGTGCTGTTTGTTCACTGTAATCTGTATATGTGATTTCATTGTGCCGTGTAATCACTGTAATCTGTATGTGTGATTTCATTGTGCTGTGTGATCACTGTAATCTGTATATGTGATTTCATTGTGCCGTATGATCACTGTAATCTGTATATGCGATTTTATTCTGCTGTGTGATCACTGTAATCTGTATATGTGATTTCATTGTGCCTTGTGATCACTGTAATCTGTATATGTGATTTTATTGTGCTGTGTGATCACTGTAATCTATATATGTGATTTCATTGTGCCATCTGATCACTCTAATCTGTGAATGTGATTTCATTGTGCCATCTGATCACTCTAATCTGTGTATGTGATTTCATTGTGCCATGTGATCACTCTAATCTGTGTATGTGATTTCATTGTGCTGTGTGATTTTCTGCTGAGCAGATTCTCTAGGAGGCAATGCTAGGACAGTCATGGTGGCCAACATTGGCCCGGCAAGCTACAACTATGATGAAACCTTAACCACACTCAGGTTTGTTCCATCTGTTATCCTCTTGTTTTTGTTGTCATTTGTGTATGTTAACCCTTTTCACACAAGATGTCAGAATCATAACATTCTAAAAATTCAGTTTTAAGTTTAAATTAACTTCTGCTTCTTTAGCATTCTGAGCCCTTGCAAAGCTCATTGCTGCAGATTTTACACACCTCTCTGTTCATCTCTTTTTTAAGTTAAATGTTTTTCAGAATTTTACTGTAATTTTATTTTCCTACTTACTGACTTAGTCACTTCTCTTCTACCTCGGGGTGTAGAGGTTTGCCAGAGAGATCGCCAGACTTCTCTGTCAGCGGTTTTCTTTTTGACTTTGTTCCATTCCAGTCCTCTGTCAGAAACTGTTGAATGTTGTCTTCCCAGTGAACCATGGGTCATCCTGATGGTCTGCTTCCCTGGTTCTTGACCTGCCATGGTGGCTGATTCTCTTCCATTCTGCACTTATGTCCAGACCATCGTAACTGTGACTGATCCACTCAAGTTTGTAAGGCCTGAGTTTCAAGGTCATGACGTATTGTCTGATTGCGAACTTTGTCCCTTCTTGTCAGTTGGACCACCTTTCTCAGATGCCTTATTTCTGAGGTCTGAAGCTGGCTTCTGAAAGCTGTTGTCCTTGCAGATAGCTTGCACCCATCCTACCTGGCACATAGATAGAGCGGTATACAGTCATGTTTGTTCCTTGCTAATTTCTCTTTTGCTGAGAAACCCCCACTTTATGGTCTGGCTTCCAGCTGCTGCTTTTTGAGCAGCCAACTCTGGCTTGATGCCTCCATCCTGGTCTATTACATCTCCAGGGTATTTTAACTGGTTGACTTGCTCCAGTGTATCTTAGTGGGTTTTTTTTTCATTTAGACATATTTTGCTTTGCTTTGTTAACACAAAGCCATCTGAGCACTACAAAGTCCAAATATGTATCAGTCAGGATCACACTTTAATTATTCTTTCTGCGGATATGTTTTCTCATTTATGGCATTGAAACTTGTAAGATAAATTATTTTTTTAATATTTTTACCGCCGCTATGCTTTCAGTGTAAACATGAACAAGTCTTCAAAAAACAAAAGAAATATAGTTACAACAGAAATGAAATGTTTGCTTATCATCCTAGGTGTAACAGGGAATGATGGACTTAACAAGAAAGGATCGACTTAGGAACAATGACATCAGTAGAAAAGTCGGCACAGAACCAATACTGAACTTTATCTGTAGAAACAGATCAAATAATTTGGACATGTAGCAAGATTGGCAATAGACAGGGCATCATGAAGAACAGTGCAATACAGATACAACAGTAACAGAGCCAAAAGTCAACCACGCAAAATGCGGACTGCAGAAATGTTTGAGACACTGAAAAGTACTATGTATGAAGCGAACAGTGGGGCCCATTCTTCCTGCCCTGGCACTGCAAGGCATTCCAGGAGCAGAGAAAAGAACAGAAATAAATAAATGTCTTGGAAAATGCTGTCTTTTGGGAACTGTTAGGCCTGAAACAAATACTGTATCACAACACCAGTAGTGGAATGACCAGTTTCTTGCCCACCACATTTCTTACCCAGACATATTCCAGGAAATTCTGAAAATTATCTGCATCCCATTTTTGTGAGGCCATGTCAAATTCGCAGAGCCATACTGGTCCAGAGAAATAATCCTATCCCAACATGGGATTTAATCTAGAATAATCCTACCCCAATACAGGATTTAATCAAAAATAATCCCACCCAACACGGATTTAATCCAAAATAATTCTACCCCAACATTGGATTAAATCCTAAATAATCCTACCCTGGCATGGGATTTAGTCCAAAATAATCCCATCAGTTGTGTTGGGTTAAGAACTTACATCGCAGTTGGGGCATTCCCATAAGCACTCAGTCCCCATCTTCAGCAACCAGCAAAGAACCCAGTGTTGATGATATCATTTTACTTGAGGATCATATGGAAAAATATCTTTGTTTAGCTGGGGAATGAAATGAAGTCAGTTTCTTAGTCAAATCTACACAGCTTGTTTAAAACAACAACAACAAAAACAATCTTGTGGCAACAATAATGTGTTTACTTTCTCTTGTCTGTGTGTTTCCAGGTATGCTAACCGGGCCAAAAATATCAAGAACAAACCGGTTATTAATGAAGATCCTAAGGATGCCCTGTTGCGAGAGTTTCAGGAGGAGATCATGAGGTTTGTAACCGGCTGTGGCCTAGAACCAACTGCTTAAAACTGGATTAAATGTTGTAGATATTTCACCTTTGTTACCTACAGGGACAGCTACACACAGGCTCTGCAGTAGTATCTTATGTAGGCAAGTGCCAGATAAACTACAACAGTCTACCAAGTACAGCTCACATAGGTCTGTTTATGACCGGGTGGAACAACCCTAGATTTGAACACCTTCACTGTGGGAATGCTAATTGAATGGGTCATGAACCCATGGGAAATTCCCCCCCCCCCCCCCCATAAAAAATCTTTTTTTTTTTAAACTATTTCAATCTATATATTTTTTTTCAGAAATAATAAACATTAAAACAAAAATGGGGAGTAATAATTAAAGATAAACAGTGAAGCATTCAGTAATTGTTTCCATTTAGGCCTTAAGAAAATATATGTCGAATGACTTATGCTGCAACCTCTATCACTGAGGCTTTAGACAAATCTCACCTTCATATGGCTTTTAAAAGTCAACACCCCCCCCCCCCCCCAACCCCCACCTCCACCACCACCCCCTTCTTCTATCCCAGAAGTGTCAGTTTTGAATCTTCTCAGGGCAGTGAGGTTAATCTTTTTAGAAGCATACATTATGTGTTTTTAACTCTTTCAGTACTACGCAACTTGTCATGCATTCATTGGATAATCTAAAGACAGTAGACAGTTGCAACACTTCAATCATAAATGGTTGTTACACTATCTCATGATATCCATATTGTTAGTTTTAGTCATTATGTCCCATACTGTTATTATTATGGGATTTACTATTATGGGGTCACCATGAGCTGGTGTTGTCACCATGAACTACTGCGGTCACCTTGAGCTGTTGGGGTCATACCATGAGCTACTCGGGTCACCATAAACTGTTGGGTCACCATGAGCTACTCGTGTTATCACCATGAGCTAGTGTGGTCAGCGTCTAAACCAGTTGCCTTTTATCTCCACAGATTGAAAGCTCAACTTCAGGGTAAAGGAGCGCCCAAGAAGCGAGGAGGGCGTAAGAAGAAGATAAGGAGAACCAGAGATGGTAGGATCAACAGTGTGATAATATCATCAGTGTGATAACAGTTACATGTACAGATATTACATTTGTATGTTTATTTATGTTTTGTAGGGGATCTCCGTGGTGAAGTGATTAAGCCATTTGTCTCATGCTGTGAAGATCAAAGGTTTGTTTCATGGTTAGGTTGTTAGGTTCACAAGAGCAATTTTTATGAAGACCCTTGGGAATCATCCCTTGAGTTGTGGTGTTTATTCTTTGTGCAGTGGATCATCCCTGGAGCAACAGTACTTGTGGTTTGTACAGTTCTCTTGCCAGGTGGGTAGCCATTCTGCAGAGAGACCAAGCCATGTTGAATCAAACCTGGTGCAATGAAATTGATCCTTTTGACTGTAACCATTAACCTTATATGCTTTTCACTCATTGTCATCCTAAGTGTGTGTCTTGTCAGCTGGTGAAGGTGTCAGCATCACTCCCCACATCTCAATCCTTGGCATTCTAGATCAGTTCTGTTGAGATATGTCGCCAAGATCAGCCAGCATCATTTCTTTCTGTGTGCCTCTGACTCTTCTACCACTGCTCTTCAAAGTCATCACAAAATTCTCCAAAACCTCTCTTCTCATTCCATAAAAAAAAAAAAAAAAAAAAAACAGTTTGTATATAATTTTCTACATTCATGAGTGTTTTCTAGATTTTCCAAGGCATTAACAACATAGCCCGTGAAAAACCACATCTCAGCTGTCTTTAAGCTTGTCCTCATTTGTTTGTTGATAGTTCATGATTCTCTGCCACTTAACAGAATAACTTTCACATAATATTTAATTACCCTTTCTACACATTTTGTTACTCTCTTTCTGGTACCTTTTCTTAACATTTAATTACTGTCTTTCTGATACCTTTTCTTAACATTTTATTACTCTCTTTCTGGTACCTTTTCTTAACATTTAATTACTGTCTTTCTGAAATCTTTTCTTAATATTTTATTACTCTCTTTCTGGTACCTTTTCTAAACATTTAATTACTGTCTTTCTGGTACCTTTTCTTAACATTTCGTTACTGTCTTTCTGATACCTTTTCTTAACATCTTATTACTGTCTTTGTGGTACCTTTTCTTAACATTTAATTACTGTCTTTCTGTACCTTTTCTTAACATTTCGTTACTGTCTTTCTGATACCTTTTCTTAACATTTCGTTACTGTTTTTCTGGTACCTTTTCTTAACATTTCAGTACTCTCTTTCTTGTACCTTTTCCTACCTTTTATTGCTCTTTTTTCTGACATTCAGTGGCCTATTCAGCATTTTATCTGTCACACATCTACCATAAGATGTTATTGTGTCCTTAAATATTTGTATTTATGCCTTGGTTCAGCATTTTCTTTTCTTTCAGGTTCAAAAGTTGTCAGCTTAAGCTTGCTGTGAATTTATTTTCAGTCTGTGATAGTCGTGTGGTCATCATATGATAATAATGTGATAATCGTGTGATCATGTTGATTTCTAAATATTGCAAACTGTTGATAGTTAAAAATGTACCTCTTTTCTGCCCTAACCAGGTCAAGTTATCGATGGTGATAGTAATGAGGAAGGCGAGGAGACGAATGATGAGGATGAGGCAGATGCTTACATGAGGGAACAACAAGCCAGACTGGAACAGGAGAAGGAAGCTATTCTTAGCAACCAGTCTCTGATAGCAGAGGTGAGAGTGGTGACACATGTAGTAGCGGTTATTGTGGGTATGCAGGAGGGTTGAGGTGAGACTGGAGACACAGGTAGTAGTGGTGAGTGGGTATACAGGAGGATTGAGATGAGACTGGAGACACAGGTAGTAGTGGTGAGTGGGTATACAGGAGGATTGAGGTGAGACTGGAGACACAGGTAGTAGTGGTGAGTGGGTATACAGGAGGATTGAGGTGAGATTCGAGACACAGGTAGTAGGGGTGAGTGGGTATACAGAAAGACTGAGGTGAGACTGGAGACACAGGTAGTAGTGGTGAGTGGGTATACAGAAAGACTGAGGTGAGACTGGAGACACAGGTAGTAGTGGTGAGTGGGTATACAGAAAGACTGAGGTGAGACTGGAGACACAGGTAGTAGTGATGAGTGGGTATACAGAAAGATTGAGGTGAGACTGGAGATACAGGTAGTAGTGATGAGTGGGTATACAGAAAGATTGAGGTGAGACTGGAGATACAGGTAGTAGTGATGAGTGGGTATACAGAAAGACTCAGGTGAGACTGGAGACACAGGTAGTAGTGGTGAGTGGGTATACAGAAAGACTCAGGTGAGACTGGAGACACAGGTAGTAGTGGTGAGTGGGTATACAGAAAGACTCAGGTGAGACTGGAGACACAGGTAGTAGTGATGAGTGGATATACAGAAAGACTGAGGTGAGACTGGAGATACAGGTAGTAGTGATGAGTGGATATATAGAAAGACTGAGGTGAGACTGGAGATACAGGTAGTAGTGATGAGTGGGTATACAGAAAGACTGAGGTGAGACTGAAGATACAAGTAGTAGTGATGAGTGGGTATACAGAAAGATTGAGGTGAGACTGAGACACAGGTAGTAGTGATGAGTGGGTATACAGGAAAGTTGAGGTGAGACTGGAGACACAGATAGTAGTGGTGGGTGGGGATACGGGTAGTTGAGGTGAGACTGGAGACACAGATAGTAGTGGTGGGTGGGGATACGGGTAGTTGAGGTGAGACTGGAGACATAGGTAGTAGTGGTGGGTGGGGATATGGGTAGTTGAGGTGAGACTGGAGACACAGGTAGTAGTGAGTGGGTATACAGGAAGATTGAGGTGAGACTGGAGACACAGGTAGTAGTGGTGAGTGGGTATACAGAAAGACTCAGGTGAGACTGGAGACACAGGTAGTAGTGATGAGTGGATATACAGAAAGACTGAGGTGAGACTGGAGATACAGGTAGTAGTGATGAGTGGATATATAGAAAGACTGAGGTGAGACTGGAGATACAGGTAGTAGTGATGAGTGGGTATACAGAAAGACTGAGGTGAGACTGAAGATACAAGTAGTAGTGATGAGTGGGTATACAGAAAGATTGAGGTGAGACTGAGACACAGGTAGTAGTGATGAGTGGGTATACAGGAAAGTTGAGGTGAGACTGGAGACACAGATAGTAGTGGTGGGTGGGGATACGGGTAGTTGAGGTGAGACTGGAGACACAGATAGTAGTGGTGGGTGGGGATACGGGTAGTTGAGGTGAGACTGGAGACACAGGTAGTAGTGGTGGGTGGGGATATGGGTAGTTGAGGTGAGACTGGAGACACAGGTAGTAGTGAGTGGGTATACAGGAAGATTGAGGTGAGACTGGAGACACAGGTAGTAGTGGTGAGTGGGTATATGGGTAGTAGAGGTGAGAGTGGGGACACAGAAAGGTAAAGGTGTGGTGCAAAGATAGTATATATGAGGATTGTAGTGCAAATGGTTTGGAGGGGGGGGGGGGGGGTGTGTTATAGCTGTGTTGAAGTTGGGAAATGTAGTTCCTCTCTGATAACATAGATAAGTTTGGGAATACTTATCAGATAACATAAATAAATTTAGGGATATTTGTCAGATAACATAGATAAGTTTGGGGATACTTATCAGATAACATAGATAAGTTTAGGGATACTCATCAAATAACATAGATAAGTTTGGGGATACTTATCAGATAATATTGATAAGTTTAGGGATACTCATCAGATAACATAGATAGGTTTGGGGATACTTATCAGATAACATAGACAAGTTTAGGGATACTCATCAGATAACATAGATAAGTTTGGGGATACTTATCAGATAACATAGAAAGGTTTAGGGATACTCATCAGATAACATAGATAAGTTTGGGATACTTGTCAGATAACATAGATAAGTTTGGGGATACTCATCAGATAACATAGATATGTTTAGGGATACTTGTCAGATAACATTTAACTCTAACAACAAATCAGTACTTCTGTACAGAGCAGAAATATTGAGAATGGTTGACTAAATCAGTTACTAATAAAATACAAACATTCATAAACTGGTACATCATAAACATGTATTAGTGTAGAGCTTTATGAGAAAATTAAACAAATTCTAGTCAATTAAGAGAATTAACTAGAATATCCTTACACTGGAACCAATGAGTTAAATAAAACAGTGGCATATATAAAAGAAAAACTCATCGAGAAGAATTAGAAGCAAATTTGTGACATGGTGGGGGGGGGGGGAGACAGACATCGAATGAGCTGCAGGAGACATAGCATGGAGTGGATTGAGTGAGTTGGGTGACAGCTTATGAGTTATCATCACAGTACTCCGGACACATCCATAGGTGCTCGGATTCCCCCTTCAGCATATACATTAGCATCCTAAGTAAACAGTGCAAGTCCTGTGCTGGTTAAGAAGATTTCTTGTACGTCTGGTATGCCTCTCGTGCCTGGATGTGCAGATCTTTACTGCCAATTCTCACTTTAGCAGTGATGTAGACCCCCTGCTCCTGAAATCCTCAGATGATCCGCTCTCTCTAAAGGCATTAACAATCCGCTCTCTCTAAAGGCATTAACAATGCCAGCTGGATCCAGAGGCCAGCCATCTGCAGCTAAGACAGAGCTGGCCAGTCTGTCAGTTCTTTCATTGCCAGCAGCATCCATATGCTCAGGAGCAAAGATAAAGTAACTGCACACACAGTAGATTTTCACAATGACTCAGTCCACTGTCTATGTACAGAGCCTGTCTCGACCTGCCAGATCATGCTCATAGAATCAGTCAGCACACACGTACAGGGATAGGCCTGAGATTTCAGCCACGTGAAAGCTTGTGTGAGAGTTTCTGTTCCTTGGGAGAAGGCGGGAGCAGAAGAAGAAGAAATCATGCTTTGCAGAAATGTGCTGCATGAAGCCAAGAAAAAGAAGTTTGTTTCCAAAAGCATATCGGTGTTTTTCACCACTATGATGGAAAGAGATTGGGTATTAAGGTCTAGACATTAATGTGGATCTGTGCTTATGTTTCTGTAGGAGAAAGAGAAGCTGCTGGGAGAGCTCAATGATAAAGAGAGCAGGCTGGTACAGGAGAAGGAGCAGCGGGACCTGCTGGCTACAAAAATTAAGGTAGGCTTCATCAACATGTCGTTTTGTTGTTGCTCAAGCTTGTTATTTCACTGGTATTTATTCTTCAGTGTCAGTATTTATTCTTATGAGTCATTCTTCTGTTCTCACTTGTGTCCTTTTATTAGTTTGTGTGTTTTATTGAATTTTAGGTTTAATTTTTCACAGACATCTTTATCTGTTTGCCAGTGAATCTTTTTCCTAGTATTTTCTCACATAAGTCAAGTTTCTATGTTTCTTATCTTCGGTTTGATCAGTCTCTTGTCACAGATCCTTTTGCAGAATGTGGCTTTCAGCACAGCTCACAAAGAAGTCTCGCAATCTTTGCCAATCCTTCAGGTATTTCCATGTCCAGGCTGTCTGCATTATCTTGTGTCCTCCACCTTCCTGCTGGTCGACCCCTGCCTTTCCTTGCAGAAACCATATTTGCCATTACTGTTCTTTCAAAACCACTAGACATTAAATTACCCTTTCTACACATTTTGTTACTCTCTTTCTGGTTCCTTTTCTTAACATTTACCTTCCAAAGCCATTGTATAGTTAATGAACATGTTCTGCTCGGTGTTTAGATCTTGAAGCATGTCAGTTATTTCATGCTCTACAAACTACACTATATTTGGGAATTTTTGATGTTTTGATGTGTGTTTTTAGTGTAACACAGCTGGCACAGTGACCTTATCTGTGGGAATTCGTACCTGTTTGGTGTTATCTACCATGAAAATACCTTGGCCTGTAGTTTGTACAGGTGAGGGACCACCTGGCTAGCCTGACCTTTGACTTGTCTGTTTCTCGTCCTGCCAGGCCATGGAGAGCAAGCTACTGGTGGGTGGCAAGAATATTGTGGACCACACGAATGAACAGCAGAGAGCGTTGGAGCAGAGGAGACGGGAGATTGCAGAACAGCAGGTAATGTATGCGAGCCGGAGGGTAAGGCTTACTGTTAGATGTGGTCTTGGATCATTTGAGGGGGCGGGGGTAATTCATAGTGTTAGGGTTAATTTTAGGTGGATTTACAGTGCTGGGGTTAATTTGATTAGATGGCGATGGGGAGGAATCATGGTGTTAGGGTTAATTTAGTTAGATGGGTTAACTCTTTTAAGTCCAAGGGCTGGTCAAGAGAGATGTAAGTTTGGCACATCTTCTAGGTAGAAACTTATGAATGTATGATGCATTCTTGGGACTGAACGAATGGAGTTAATGTGTTAGGTGTCGTTTAATGGGGAGAGAGGAGTTGCGGTGTTAGAATCAGTTTGTTTAAGAAGTGTATATGTGAGTGTGTGTGTGTGGTTTTTTTTAATACTCACTGATATCTGACTGACTTCTCCATAGCGTAAAGAACGAGAGATGCAGCAAAAGCTGGAAGAGAAGGAGGAGACAGCCATCGAGTTTCGGGAGACATATCAAACATTACAACAGGAAGTCGATTCTAAAACAAAAAAACTTAAAAAGGTAAGAAAACTCTTAAGAACATTGTGTAATAGTGCTGTCCCTTCACAGACTGTTGTATCTGTAAGAAACCAGGAAATTCTTGTATCGTGTTTTCTCGGGTTGGGTCTCGGTGTGTTTCTTGTTTGCATGCAAATTGGTTGTGATGTTACAGTAACCTTAATTCTTTCTGTGTTAACCTCCTTGACAAGTTTAACTGGTTATTTGCTGCAAGCTTTGTTTGATTCTGCCTATATGGGTTCCGGGATTACGCCCACTGCCCAGCAACAAGCATGTCACAAAAGGTGACTTATTAGCGGTGTTTAGTTCAAATTCAGTGCAAGGAATCAACAGTTTGCATACACAAAAGTCTGATCTGTAAAATGGATGTTTATGCAAAACTCACTTTCTGGAACAAGACTTAAATCCAGAAGTGAACGAAAAACCACAACTATCTGCTGGAGTTTACAGTGGTGAATGGGCAGAAGAAGATTCTGTCTTTCTCTGTGATTGTGCCATAGCTGTTGGTGTGTTTGCTTGTCAAAAGATTGATCCTACTGCAGCCCTCTGGTAGGATTTTCTTCTAGGCTCCATCCTTCCTCATAAATCATTATCCAATTGTGCTATTATGCGTCACACAGCGATTACAGTCTGTTCCTCTATTTTCTTGTTATTATTATTATTCTTTTGCTTTTTTCTTATTCTTATTATTATTATTATTCTTTTTCTTCTTCTCCTTTTCTGCATTTTACAACTCATGCTTTTGTGTTGTTTCTTGATATTTGTAAAATGCTTATTATTACATAAACATAAGATTCTTTATTGGTAAAATACAACTGCTGTGTGAAAGATGGGTGAGTGGAGGGGCCGAATTTAAGACGGGCCTGCTTTCCCAATTTGTGACCATTTGAAAATAAAGTTTGATCTCCTTATTCAGCCCTTCATCTCCCAGTGGAGTATTGGCCCTCAACCTACTCACACCGTCTATCCTTTGCTTTCTCATTAGGCTCACTCTGTATCCTCTCCATGGTTTATCTTCTCTGTTTGTGGGTTCCAGTGCAAGGGTTACATTACTTTACTGTTTTGGTTGTTGCTGCAGTTGTTTGCCAAGCTGCAAGCCACCAGGCAGGAGATTCAGGACCTGCAGGAGGAGCACAGCAAGGAGAGGCAGGAGCTGGAGCAGACCCAGATGGAGCTTACCAGAGAGCTCAAGCTCAAGTGAGAGCCTCTGTGTTTCATGTGACTGTTTGTTCTTTATCATGTGACAGTTTGATCGGTCATGTGACCTTCTGGTTTTTGTCTGTTTTATGTCATATGACTGTTTGATCTGTCATGTGACCTTCTGGTTTGTGTCTGTGTTATCTGTCATGTGACTGTTTGACCTGTCATGTGACCATTGGATCTGTCTCCTGTGGCTCTTTCACCTGCCTCATGTGACTGTTTGACATGTGTCAAGTGTCTGTCTGATTTGTATCAAGTATATGCTTGATCTATTATGTGTCCATTATTTCTTCTTCTTCTTGTTCACCGGCTGTGAATTCCGGCGGAAAGTCCTAGTTTTGTGTCCATTTGGACTTTCAGCGTTTATTTAGACCTGAGTTTTGGATGTACATCTGTTTGACTGGCTTATTTGTGTGCAGCTCTTGTTCCCTGCCTCTCCGGCAGATCTGTGTCCATTTGATCTGTGACATGTTACTGTTTGATGTGTGTATAGTGATAGTTTGATCTGTGTCATGTGACTGTTTGATCTCTGTCATGTGATGGTTTGATCTGTGTCATGTGACTGATCTGTGTCATGTTACCTTTTGAGTGTCTGCTTGGGTTGTTAATTTAATCTCTTTTTCTTTGTGTGCATGTTTGAATGTGGACATGTATGTTGTTAAATTAGTGTATCTCTCTTTTTTTTTCCCCCATCTTTATTGCTTACTTTAAGTGTATGTATATCTGTGTGCTTTGATGAGGTGGGGGATGTACAGATTGTCATACTAGTTTCTGTCTTTTTTGTGTGTATATTCCTTCACAGGATGTTGATCAGTGAAATGCTGTATCATCCTTCACAAAAACCTGAACATTTTTTAATAGTATTATGTTCCCTCACTGGATGTTGATTTTTGAAGTAGATTGTTGTATATTGTTTGTTTCACAGGATGTTGATCATTGAGAACTTTATCCCCAATGAGGACAAGCTGAAGATTCAGAACAGAGCTTACTTTGAGGAAGATGAGGACACATGGAAGCTAAAGCCCCTGGCTAACAGAAAGTGAGTTTGTTTCCCTTAGCTCTCACCTCACAAATAATGACTGATGACACAGTCAGTCAGTAAGGAGTATTAGTAATACCAGAGTCGGTCAGTAAGGGGTATCAGTAATGGCACAGTCAGTAGGTGGTATCAGTAATAGCACAGTCAGTCAGTAAGGGGTTTCAGTAATGGCAGAGTCAGCCAGTAAGGGGTATCAGTAATGGTACAGTCAGCCAGTAAGGGGTATCAGTAATAGCACAGTCAGTCAGTAAGGGGTTTCAGTAATGGCAGAGTCAGCCAGTAAGGGGTATCAGTGATGGCACAGTCAGTCAGTAGGTGGTATCAGTAATAACATAGTCAGTCAGTAAGGGGTATCAGTAATGGCACAGTCAGTCAGTAGGTGGTATCAGTAATAGCACAGTCAGTCAGTAAGGGGTTTCAGTAATGGCAGAGTCAGCCAGTAAGGGGTAAAAGTAATGGTACAGTCAGCCAGTAAGCAGCTTATTATTTCTCTTTTGAGGTGCAGGGCCATATGGCACTACCACTGTTGGTTATAAACCTTCTGGCACTCATTCGGTGATATGGTAAATGTCACACTGGTCTGCTCTAACTTAATTGAACAATTCCTACCACCAGTTTTTTTTAGACTGAATTTATTTTGGAGCCCAGGACAGTATATTTGTAAATGTCAGTTGATAGGGATCTTATGGCTGTCAGACTGGCGGGCTAGCAGGTTAGCCATTTCGCTCCCCTGGCTTCCATGGTGTCTTGTTCCTGCCATATTTATTTTACATGTGGTAATAATGCATACATTATTTTTGGTTTTGTTGTTTGAGGTTAACCTAATAAAAGATAAAATATTGTCAGGAACAGGAGGCAAGAAGAGCAGAATTCCAAAGTCATTGAGTTGGTTAGAGAGCACACTAACCATGTTGCTATCACAGACATTCACCAACATAGATGGTTTAAAAAAACAACTATAATGCTATATTTGTCACTGTAGTTAGAGGAAAATTACTTTAATTAAACCTTTCTCTCCACAAATGCCAGAAAAATGGGTCATGAACCCTTGGAAAGTTCCCCAAAACAATCATTCTAAAAAATATATATTTCACACATGTGACTAATAAATTGTTTTAAAATGTATTTACATGTATTTTTATTTTATTTTTGGTTGTTAAAATATTTGCAGATATATAAAGGGAATAATCAGTAAACAAGAACAGGGTCAAACATTACATGGAATGCATGCTCTGGGGTTTCAAATAAATATATATCGGGTGACCCATGTCGTGACCTTGTGACCTCTAACACTGCGGCTTACTGGAACATTTTGAGTCAATCTGGTTTTTAAATATCTATTGGATTTAGAAGGAAACCTCTCTGAACGCTATATTAATATATTGACATGCGGGCCTCCTAAACAGTATGCAGGTGCACATAGAATCAGTGTTATTTAGTACGATTTTCAAGAACGGGTCACAGCAGAAATGATGATAAATTGGAATTTACGGAGCTGTGTCACTACTGGAAGATTTAACCTTCTCATAAGAAAGGCTTAATTCACTTAAATCATAAATGTAGTGTAATAAAACTCTGTATTGTGTCATTTCTATGAGTTTCCTGTGTCTGCAGTGCCGAGACCATGGCCAAACGACCCGTTTCTGCTGTTGGTAACCGACGCCCCATCTCAGAATTTGCCAGGGTGCATGCCGCCATTGGAACTGACCCTAGATATAAGGTTGGGATAGTGGTTTGTGTGCCTCAGTACACAGTTACAACATATGTTTGTTTGTCAGTGTTCTTGTTTTAACACAGTGTTTATGTTCGGTATAATGGCTAAGACAGATGTCTGGTTACACTGTTACAGCAGATGTTTGTATTTCTGGTTACAAAGTTAACATAGATGTTTGTGTATCTGGTTACATAGTTAGCATAGATGTTAAAAGTTAACATAGGTATTTATGTGTCTAGTTATATAGTTAACATAGATGTTTGTATGTCTAATTACAAGGTTAATATAGATGTGTGTGTGTCTAGTTACATAGTTAACATGTATGTTTGTATGTCTGGTTACAAGGTTTATATAGATGTTTGTATATTTGATGACATAGTTAACATAGATGTTTGTATGTCTGTTACAAGGTTGACATAGATGCTTGTATATTTGGTTACAAAGTTAACAAAGATATTGTATGTCTAGTTACACTGTTACAGCAGATGTTTGTATTTCTGGTTACAAAGTTAACATAGATATTGTATGTCTGGTTACAAAGTTAACTTAGCTGCTGTATGTCTGGTTATAAAGTTAACATAGATGTTTGTGTGTCTAGTTACATAGTTAACATAGATGTTTGTATGTCTGGTTACAAGGTTAATATAGATGTTTGTTTATTTGGTAACAAGGTTAACATAGATGTTTGTCTGGTTACATTGTTAACAAAGATGTTGTATGTCTGGTAATAAGGTTAACATAGGTGTTTGGATGTCTGGTTACACAGTTAACATAGATGGTGTATGTCTGGTTACAAGGTTAACATAGATGTTTGTGTGTCTAGTTACATAGTTAACATAGATATTTGTATGTCTGGTTACAAGGTTAAGATAGATGTTTGTATGTCTAGTTACATAGTTAACATACATGTTTGTATGTATGTATACAAAGTTAACATATATGTGTTGTATGTCTGGTTACATAGGTAACATAGATGTTTGTATGTCTGGTTACACAGATAAAACATTTAATTATGTCTCGTACAGATAAAACATTTAATTATGTCTGGTAACACATATATTCTTACAAATTTGGCAGGCTGAGAATATACTACAGATAGATCTGGACTTGCCAAATAGGACGACACGAGACTATGAAGGGCCAGCAGTGGCTCCAAGAGTCCAAGCGGCTCTGGACGCAGCCTTGCAAGATGAGGATGATATTGACATTGATGGGAGGTTTGTAGCCATGTGCTCATATCTTTGTGTGTGGTGTGAAATGCTTGTATCATACCTTGAGAGCATTTATCCAATTATGTTGACTGCAAGTGGCCATAAACAAACAAAGGACGTTACAGCAAATAGTCTTCATCCGCAGAACAATGATGGAAAACAAAATACAACACACACAAATGAACTGGCTCTGAAATGACTACATTACAGTTGTCAGATATTATGTGAATAAATTAAACAAAATAACAATACCAATTCACTTCCTCCTTTGTCTCCAGGAGCTATACCAGCTTCATTTTTTCCCCTTATAAAATTATATCAGTTGAGTGAAGCATCGCACACTTTATTTGATTAGTTATTAGTTAGTGTTTCTTCTTTAACCTAGGGCGGCGCATACAGCAGAGGTCACATCTCTCCATGTCTGGCTGTTTGTTGCCACCTGTTTTAGGTCTTGGATGCTCATTAGGTCCATGGTTGAGCCTTTCCTGATGATGGTTCTACACGGGGTTTCTCTTGGTCTTGCCTGTTTTCCTTTTTCCTTCCGATTTCCATATGATGACTTGATTGAGGAGTATTGTCTTATCCATTCTGAGCCCATAGCTGATGTAGTTCCATTAGCGCTTTCTTATAAAATTGGAGACATTATCTTGCTTGGTACTTTTTTTTGATTCTCTAATTATTATCAGTTCATTTATCCGTTGTAATCAGGTCATTGTAGTTCCACAAATAGGTGATCCCATAGTTGCTTAGTTCCTGTGCCAGTGAGAGAAAAAAAACACAGAATTTCCATCCATGTCCTTTGTGAAAAAAAAAAAAATTGGCACAGACTGCATAAAGCAGCTGTAAGAAGAGCCGACACAAACAGTCCGGCACTAGAAATACAGTTTATCATTGATGGAAGCACAGTTACAACAAATCAGTAGTTGCACACATAATTAATCGCATAAGGTACAATGGGCCACTTGCTTTTTTTTATTTTAAATCTGCAGTTCAAAACAAACCAATTTAAGCACAGTCAGAAAAAAAAAACATTCCATGTCAAATCCACAGCTCACAGTGTTATGACATGCACATACTTATTAGCTGGCTGATTTTGTCTGTTGTAACTAGACCTGTGAAGACGAAATATACATGACATTTGTCCTGTCTTACCTTGTACATGTGTTTATTTGCTAATGGCATGTAAAATGTTATTCATTTTACTAATGAGGCTTTGTCCTCTGTCTCAGACTAGCTTGTAGACATATTGGCACTGTGGGGATGCAAACATAGCAAACCTCAGAAAACTACCTAGTCACTGCTGGGGATGCAAACATGGCCAACCTCAGAAAACTACCTTGCCACTACTGAGGGAGCAAACATGGCCAACCTCAGCTAAGTACCTAGTCACTACTGGGGGGTGCAAACATGGCCAACCTCAGCTAACTACCTTGTCACTACTGAGGGAGCAAACATGGCCAACCTCAGCTAAGTACCTAGTCACTACTGGGGGAGCAAACATGGTTAACCTCAGCTAACTACCTTGCCACTACTGAGGGAGCAAACATGGCCAACCTCAGCTAAGTACCTAGTCACTACTGAGGGAGCAAACATGACCAACCTCAGCTAACTACCTTGTCACTACTGAGGGAGCAAACATGGCCAACCTCAGCTAAGGACCTTGCCACTACTGAGGGAGCAAACATGGCCAACCTCAGCTAAGGACCTTGCCACTACTGAGGGAGCAAACATGGCCAACCTCAGCTAACTACCTTGTCACTACTGAGGGTGCAAACATGGCCAACCTCAGCTAAGTACCTAGTCACTACAGAGGGTGCAAACATGGCCAACCTCAGCTAAGTACCTAGTCACTACAGAGGGTGCAAAAATGGCCAACCTCAGCTAACTACCTAGTCACTACTGAGGGTGCAAACATGACCAACCTCAGCTAAGTACCTCGCCACTACTGGGGGAGCAAACATGGCCAACCTCAGCTAAGTACCTAGTCACTACTGGGGGAGCAAACATGGCCAACCTCTGCTAAGTACCTAGTCACTACTGGGGGAGCAAACATGGTTAACCTCAGCTAAGTACCT